AGAAATTGGGGACGAAAAGGCGCGGGGATGGCTTTACTTCGATCAAAATTGTCGGTTGAAGGCCGGGCTGTTGAGACTAAGTCCCCTTACCCATGAAGTATGATATCTGACTGGACCCCTCCAACGACTCGTCTCCACACGGTTATGCTGACACAGTGCTCCTTATAAGTGAGGAGCCCCCTTCCAAGATGCTTGAGTACTGGTCTAAGACGAGGGTTCCAGTACATATTCATGAACTAGAAGGCAGAAATCTTGATGTTTACGGTTATTCTGAAAACCATTCCTATTGAGTGTCTTATATCTTCTCAGGATGGTTGAGGCTCAAGTTTTTCAACAACCATTCGATGCTGGATAAGATCATGACAAGCATCATCGCAACTATCCCATCAAGGTTTCGTAACCCTTCTCCACCATGACATCCATCCAGTACACGTCCTGCTGCTTCTCATCCATACGTGACCATGTCTCTCTTACAAGAAGCGTCATTTGTCGTATAGGCTTAGCTGCCAGGATGCCCTCGAACGATGCGAGACGTGATATGACCAGCCGTCTAGCATGTAAAACGTCGGTCATGGTTGGCTTTGCTCTCAGCCTAGGACTAGAAGCAAAGCTTGCCATAGGCTTGTCTCCCAAAGAATCCAACGAAGCAAACTCGCGGGTTATAGAAAGCTCGCTGCAAATGCTTACTAGAAGCAGTGGTTGAATAGACCGAGATCGCGACGTGATTGGAATCTCCTGTAAGAGATCGAGAATGTGTAAAGCAAGACAGGTCAGCCACGTCGCATGTAGAGCATCTGGGTTGCCCGAAAAGCTGGGTTCCGACTCCCCGGGTATATCCAGCCAGGCCGACGGACTGGTAGTCGCCGTGTCTTGCAAGAGTAGATCGGGAAAGTTGCGGTATAGCTGCAACAGTCCAGTACACCTGTACGCCTCTGCAGCTTTCAACAGATGGTCGGTTGGTGTCATATCATCGCCCGAGTCCATGACTGTAACCTCTGTTGGAAGTTCAATCTTGCAAAGCCGCGAGTGGAGCTGTTCCGCTGCCTGTATGGCGGCGACGGACTGCTCGATGTCGTGCCTGGATGAATGCTGGCGGCGACGGATCCGTTTTCGTTCTTTTCTGGCGAGCGCCCCAACTTGACCAACAACCTCTAGTACCTCTACTCCAATACCTGTCTGCGGATGTGGCATCCTCGCGTCATTTCGATCGGGAAAACGAGGCGGTTGTGGCTGAACGGCTCCAGTGGATGCCGCCGAAGGCAATTCTTGGTCGGTGACGAAGGAAAGCAACATCCTCCAGTAAACTAGTGAGTTATAAAAGAAGAATCGTTTCTGCTTGTCCGCCATTATCAAGCTATCTTGTTGGGCTTCGAGGTGAATGAGTGTCTCAGCCAGTAATTCGAACTCGGACTGGCCGAGTTTAGACGGATCATGCCAGCAGAGACTGAAGCCGAGCATGACCAGTGCCAACAGTGATGATGTATCCGTTGGACCTGCTTTACTTTCTTTCCATAGGGCGTTTACCGCCTGGTCCCGAAGTCGAACGCTGGCTGCGGAAAGGCCTGGTGAGACTTCGGCTAAGCAGGCTGCTGCCATGCTTTGGGTAACGTAGTAGAGTGATGGCGAATTACTCCAGAGATTGGAAATAGTTGTTCTGTATGGGTTCAACTTGCTGTCGTAGCAAGACATCATCCCGCACACTTCTTTGAAATAGTACTCCACCAGCACCGATGTATTGTCTTGTAATGAGGGTGATAGTGGGGTATCGTAGTGAGCCATGCTGGATGGATTGGAGCTGACGCGCCGGTCTACCACATCGAGACCAAGTGCAGCGACTTGATTACCAGGGATGATACCCGGCCATATTTCATTGGCTTCTGTTTCGGCTGAAAGAAGAGAAAATGTTACCCCTGCGGATGAGGAAGGAGTTGGAGATAGAGCCGGTATGTCTGAGAAGGGAAAAGTAGGCTCCAGATGGGTGGCATCTTGAAAGTCTAAACTTGAAGGGGTATCGATATTTGCAAATTGACTGAAGAAACCCGTGTCAAAAGTATCCCTGTCAAATGAATCGGGGGATTGTAGAATTTGAACCGAATGTCTAGCCCTTTGTTGGCGGCGTTGTGGTTCGCTAGATGTCGGAGTCGTGATGTCAACCCCAGGGGATCTCGAGGCAGGCGACCATCTGAGAGGCTTTTGATATCCGGGACAGGATATCCCGAGTCTTCTACATCTCGAACAATGTGGCTTGACTTCGTCGCATTTCAACTGACAGGAGGCGTGTTAGGACCTGACACAACAAGTGGTACATGACGTTGGTCTCGTACCCGTTTTGACTTGCATACTGCGCACCCATTTCGGGATCTTGTGATAGTCTTATGCGCTGATGACCGCATTAGGTTGTTGAACAAGGGATGAAAGTTCACATCAAAATGAGAATCAAATGAGAACGAGACGACAGCTCAACCGAGTGAGGCAGATCCTGAATCGCTCGAACTTGCATTTCTTGAGCAGCAAGCTTTCCATGTGCCTGAGCAGCGTTTGTCTCAGTGAGTGAAATGACTCGCGTCCGGATGCGGGGAGCTTATCGGCAGTGGAACGCTCGGAGGTTGCATGGCCCCAGCCAGGATGAACGCATGCCCCCATCCACTAAACCAAATCAGGTTCCTCGAGGCGAAGGAAAATGATGCTGAAATGGGTAATCATCGATGAGGAGACTTCGGAGCCAGTCTCTTCTCTTCGGTATTCAAAGTTTGTTTGATAAGACTTAACGGAAACACTAAGCTGCGCTGAAGCTCTATCAGATCACCGTGCTAGCATTTCTAATTCTACTACCTACCTTATCTTTCAAACATGGCCTTCTCGGGGAATCAGTCTTTCAAGGTCGCACTGGTACAAACCAGTCCAAAGGTGAGCCCACTATCGACGTCACTTTAGCAGAAACCATCGCCAACCCTCATCTTTGCAGGTTCTGGATGCCGAGCACAACTTTGCTCATGCTTCCAAACAAATTCGCCTAGCTGCAACTCAAGGAGCATCACTGGCGGTTCTACCAGAATATCATATGACGGGATGGGTACCGGATGAACCCTCATTCGCACTAAGCTACGAGGAAGCTCAGAATTTCCAACGCCGGTATCAGCAACTTGCAGCCGAAGTGCATATCAACATCTGCGCCGGCACAATCGTCTACCGCGCACCCAATGGTGCTCCCGACTCCAAGCCAACTCTCCTCAATACATCCTATTTCATCGACCATGATGGACAACTCTTAGGCGCTTACACGAAGACTAACCTCTGGATCCCCGAACGCGATCATCTGACTTCAAGCATCGACTACGCACACAGGATGCAAGTCGACGAGGGTACGCCAAAGCCTCACCAAGTCTTCGATACTCCCTTGGGTCCCGTCGGAATACTGGTCTGCTGGGATTTGGCCTTCCCGGAAGCATTCCGACAGCTTGTCCTCGCGGGGGCAAAGATTATCATCATGCCCTCGTACTGGACACTGTCGGACATGAGCAAGGAAGGTTTGAAGTATAACGCGACATGCGAGAAGATGTTTGTAGAGTCCACGCTTACCACGAGGGCTTTTGAGAATACTGCTGCCATCATCTACTGCAATGCAGGAGGACCTTCGGAGCAGGGCTATTTTGGTTGCAGTCAAGTTGCATTACCCATTGTGGGCAAGGTTCCTGGGAGCTTCACGGATGGCGAGGATGGGATGCGGGTGGTGGATGTGGATATGCGAATTGTTGAGATTGCTGAGCGGAACTATCAGATTCGACAGGATTTGGGGCGCGTCGATTGGCATTATGGCTATGTGAAAGGGGCCAAGTTGTGAACTCAGAAAGAGAATCATACCTATCTATGTCTAATGTAGTGATAATACTACCCAGCTGAGATGCAATGAGTGTATAGATCTAGGCTCGCTTTTGCCCATGTTTGTCTGTATTTTGCTTACCCGCTGCGAATGACACTTCAAACAGCCTACAAGACATCCCAATAGGGCCAGTTCTTTCTGCGTAAGAAAAGTACGAATCAGAAGACGAGAGACAAAACATATCGTGGCGGTTTGAGTTTCCAAAGGAGCACATCGAAACACGGTGCTGCCGTGCTATTTCAATGGTTCCGGACGACTTGAGAGCTCTCTGGACACAAGAGCATCGGATTCTTCGTATAGTTCAATCCGTGCAAACTAGAGACTATTTACAAAATCACAGCTTTTCGTGTTGTAGGGCGGCTACCCCTTTTGCAGATTCCTGATCTTCGATAGGGTTCGCAGTCGGCAACTCCTCCCCAAGGATCAGCTCAAACTTGGGACCGTTGTAGGTCTTCCTCTTGATAAACCAGAGTGCAACCGCGTAAACAACGAAAACTCCGATGACAGCTGTCACGTAGTCTGGATGTGTTAGATACATGAATAATCCGCCGGTAGATGGAGACTTACTCATGGTGGAAATATCGATGGGAATTGCTGGTGGGAAACAGAAGAACTACGAGACACGTGAGCATTTCTTTCCAATTACCCCACGCATCTTTACTTACGATAGATGTGACGATGACGAAAAGCACCGACGTCCAGTTCGTGAGGTAGCCCATGAAGCCTCCGCCCATGGAGAATACTGGCGGATTATCCGTGACGAGTTTTCGGCCCCGGATGAGCAGAATCATGACTGGCATCGCATAAGAAAGATTCAAGAACAGGGTGCAGCTTGCGATGTAGGCATTAAATGCCACCTCAGGGCCTATAGAAATTAGTTTCTGCATCTCATGTTGGTTGACGGGTAGACGAACCAAGATAGAGAAGGCCAAATAGAATGTTAAAAATGGCCTGCACGACTATTGCACGTACAGGCACGTTCAGCTTAGGGTGGAGGTGCAAGAGACTTCAAAAGACCGGGTAAGTAAGATGGGCTAAAATGGGGATAGCTTCATGCTGTACATACTACTTCGAGAATGGAGTTCCGTTATCTCGAGCCATAGACCAGACCAAGCGACTGCCCGACGTCACGCAGCCGTTCGCGCCATTAACGAAACAGAGGGCAACTGCAACGCTTAGAACAGTGGCAGCTGCTCTGCTTTTCGTTGCTTGTAGAATCATCTCCGTCAAAGGACTCTGCGTAGGCGAGGAAAGCAAGACGTCAATGTCGACGGCGCAGAAGAGCATAACAAGGATGAAAGCAATTCCTCTGCATTTACTGTCAGGTTTATCAGGCTATGTGGTGCGGTGGGGTTGTACTTACGTCGTGCCGCCAACGATTACGGCACCGACCATGGCTTGGGGAGCATCTGTGGACGGTCTAGGCATCTCCTCGACCATGTGCGCCACAGCATCAAAACTATCATCGTGTCAGTCATACGGCAGCAGGTCTGAATCTAGTAAGACGAACCCGATCAAGCTGAGAGCAGACTGAAGAAGCCCAAGCATCCATGCCGTCCCATCGCTCCAGCCGGTCGTATTGGAGAAATTTGTGAAGACGAACTCGGCGTCCGTCTTTGGGGAAGTTGCGAGCAGTACGATGCTGATCACGACGACGCTGAGCAAGGACCAATACACTTGAGAAGATTAGCAACCCAATCGATCAACTTTTGTCTTTTAAAGTACTTACATGCTCCTTCGTTCCAGCGGTTGAGGATTGGGTATGCAAAGATGTTCAAGAATACTCCAATGATGGACACAGCGACGAACATCAAGTACGTGCTCCATTGTGTGATCTCGTAGGAGCCGCCAGAAGCTGCGACGGCGGCTGCAGCGAGGAATCGGGCTTCACCCAGAATTAGTAAAGCTCAAGTCGTCGATGTAGGTCAATTCTCACCTCCAAAATACGCAGCGGTAGTGTTGAGCGTGAGCCAGCCAGCGATGTTAACCCATCCAACAAAGAAGCTCTGGAGCTCATTAGCACTTGATTTCCAGTCAGGCTGTGAGACGTGGGGTTTACCGTCATCTTCCTCCACTTCTTCGTCGAAAGTGCATAGGCATAGTGATATTGCCCTCCAGCTGTTGGATAGAGCGACGCAAGCTCTCCAACACTTGCACTCAATGCGATGTTGCAGATAACACAGAAGATGAAGCCGTATACAAAGGACACTGATCCACCTGAGGGCATCACCAGACCAATGGACCCAGCTAGAGAGATCCAAGTGCTTTTGAAAATCAGTATCAAAATCTGGGAATGTAACTACAATTCAATGACTGACTTGAGAATAGCAAAAGCCATGCCAATCATGGTGATTTTAGAGAATCGCTTCTGCAGGTGGCCATCTTGGCCATCCGCTGATGATGTGGCCATATCTTCTAGTGGTCTGTGACAGCGGAGCTTCAACGGTATGAATTGGAGGTAACCACTGGAACGTTCTTGACAGAATGCGAACCTCTCATGTCCTCTTATGGCCCTTGAAGGCTGTTTCACTTGTACATCGCAGTGTCGCACCGATGATAACAAGGTAGATGATAAGGAGAGATGCCTTTACGCTTAATAACATGCCAACAAACAGCAACAGGATTATCCTCTCGGGTAGCTGCGAAGCTGCGAGTAATGACGGTGGTCTATCAACACGCTATCCCCAAAGTGGTAGTGTTAAGCAAAGGAAAAGATGAACCCCACGGCCGGCTGTGGATCGGAGACGCAGCTGTGGAGGTCTATCAGCCGATCACCCCGCATGCGATGATAACGGTCCTGAGTTGCGTCAATGCCGGTACCCATTTCCGCTGCGAACTGTGGACTTGGCTATCGAGGAATATCATTGTTCCCCAAGCGAACTTCCTCTTGTTGGGTGCATTTCAGTTGATGAAGCTTCATTATAACCCCTCGAGGTGCGATACACCATCAACTGGGTAGAGCCGCTGCTCTTTGTTACTACCTTATGTAGTCCTCTCTCCGGGCTCTAAAATCTAGTACATAGAGCAACTCATGGTTCACTGTCCTCGATCGCACAGAGCCCCATCGGTCTTAGGTCTTAGACAACGATTACTCTTTAATTCAACAAAAAAGATTAGAATCAGTTCAGTGCCTCAGTTTGCTCAATATTATTTGTCAGTTAGAGCACCTTCTTGTACACCTCGTTGCATCCAATCTCCTGAACCCACAAGTTCCACGGTCGCATCAACGACCACTGTGTCGTCTTGTCAGAAGCCATACATTCGTCATGGCTTAGACTTTTGACGCCGCCCGTGACTCCAGTAACACCTTGAAGCATCAAAGCAGTAGTTTGGATGCTTGCATTCTTCTGCGTATACACTGCCCGCATCACGGCGAGCTCGATGCTACTAGCAACGACCGTGAACCCATGCCCACGCATCAACGTCACGTTATTGCCATCGTCGAAGTGTTTAGCCAAGTGGGCACCCATATTCTCACTACGTACAAGTAGATCATGAACGTCGCCGTCCTCCATGTGGTCTGCGGTATCAAATACCGGCAAGCCGTCGGCGCCCAGGAATCCGCACATGTGGCTGACGGCTCTCAGCGGAACACCTGAGATCGTGTAGGGGACCACGGCCTCGGAGTGGCTGTGGGCCACCGCGTTAACCTGTGGGTGCCGCTTGTAAATCTCCGAGTGGATTCGCCGTTCCGCAAAGCCCGGAAATGACTCCGCATCAAGTGGCTCGGCATCGCCGACTCTGTAGGCGACAAGGTCTTCGATGCCTGACACCTGAGCTGGGGCAACATTCCGAGACATCACGAAGATGCCAGGATCCAAAGGATAGCGGAAAGACAGGTGACCGTAGGCGTCTACGACCTGGTGGAAGTGAAGAATGTGAGAGCCATCGATGAGTTTGTTGAAAAGCTTACGAAGGTCGTCGGTGTGAGGAAGAGCAGCCATTTCAACGGGATGTATTTCTTTCCCAACGATGGCGCAGGAATGTGAAAGTTTTCAAGACGATATAGGATTTCTTGATGACGGCTGGATTTGAGAAAGGCTGAGAACGTCGCGAGTGCCGAGTGCACATACAGAAGCAGCTGATCGACGGGCCGATGATCGGATTTCAGAAATCTGGCGGGGTACGAGCACCAACTCGATGCGGGGTCGTGGAAGGGGTGGTTTGAGAGTCTGAATGTATGGCATTTGGGGACCTTTTCGTACATGCACATAGGATCTTCATGTTAAGGATTTGTGAATATGCCACTCTGGTTTCTAGATAGCAGTAGATTTACTGATAAACCAGATCTTTTCTTCCAGCAACTTCAGTCTTGAGAGGAACCTACTGGCCCTTTCGAAACGAGACCTAGCTCCACCAGAAGCCTCTCCAAACCCTCTGTCTTGAATGGTTTCTGTATCAATGCGTCGAAACCAAGGCTGCGAGTTCTATCCATATCTAGCCCCATCGATATGCCCGCAGCCATAACTACAATGTAACACGGCTTCAGGCCATTCTCGGTTTCGAATGCGCGAATGAGTCTTGTGGCATGCAGACCATCAATGACGGGCATCGAAGGCTGCATCAAGATGCATCGGTACAATTGGTGGCCTTTCTTGTATGCTTCGAAGGCTTCCTGGCCGTTGCATGCGAAATCGTACACGCAATTGTGGCCCAATCCGTCCATTTGCCTAGCGATGAACTTTCTCACAACTTGATTGTGTTCCGCTATAAGGATGTTGATTGACGGCGTGGCTGTTGCTGCGGTGGGAATGCTATCTGTCTGAGGTGGGCTTGAGAGACCCAATTGCTCTGTGCTCAACTCTTCCAGTGGACGTGTTGCATTCTTCGGCAAGGGTTCTTCGCTCGGGAATGCCATGTCGGCATAGCCATCATCCACTCTCGTCGGCGCAAGCGAAGTGGCGATGGCAGACAGGTTCGGAAGTGCTGTAATCAGAAATGCATTGAAGAAGCAAGATGATACTGCGAATATTTGCTCGAACACTACTCCGTAGATTATGTGCTTTGAGAGGCCTGCTGCCTGCGGCCTGCTTGGTTTCTCACTTCTCGCTTAGGTAGGTACTCAAGGCGCAGCATTTCTAGTCTACTAATGTGGACGTGGGTTCACAACAGCCCTCGCATTGAGATTTATTACATAGGGCTTTGATTTGGGGAAATAAAATAGCTGTGGCACGATAATCCACTCAATATTTTTCACGATAGTTAGGACGATAAACTTGCTACTTTCCGGGGTTCGTTGAGAGCAGTGTTGCCTTGGCACAACCGTTGTCCAAGCAGCAATTTAGGTGGGATGTGGTTCTGCACACTTGAGTAGGTATGAACAGCATGTCTCGCGATACGTCTCCATGAGATTATTATGGAAATCGTGCGCTTCCCGGCCCGTATCATCGGGAAATGTCAAGACGGAGTCATCATCTTGAACGAGTCGCGCCTGATGCCGACTCCATCGGAGGCGTGGAACCGCCCAATTGTGGGGCCGACTTACGGGATCAGGTTGAAAATCGTGGTAAGAGGTCCGAACGAGTTTTGGACCTCTGGCATCGAAAGGGGATGAGGTTGATCGCCGGTTTTGAATTCAAGTCATTTCTCACGGACTCTTCGGGATTCGGCCACTCCGTATTGCCTCGTTCTCGCGACGTTCTAGAAGCTCTATCCCTGAAGCTCAGACTCGTGTCGAGACGCAGCTCCCAATGAGACCGCCGTAAACGCGAGACATGTCCAAACTCTGTTCTATTTACCTTGTCATCTCTCAAGGCAGGGTGCCGGACCTCTTCACCTCTTCTACAGAGTACTCCCTTTCGGTTGAGTGGATTGCACATGGCTGGGCGCCTCGAACAAATGAACTCTGCCAGAAACAAACCCCTCGGAGCCACTTCCCCGCGTCCCTCTTCTCCAACATTGGGTTTGCGCTAGGGTACCTTAGGTGCTTAGGTATTAGTTCAGTGACGCCCAGTTCTGGGGTAACGCACTTGGTGGGACTGCGTGACACCCCTAGATCCATTTTCGCTTCGCCTCGCATGAAAAAGCATCTGCCGGCTGTTCGTTTCGGGATCTGGTGGGACAAGGGAGAGAGTCAAGACTGGGGGAAGCTTGGAGCTCGGGTGCTCGGTCAAGCAGCAGCAGTGAAGCACGGCAGATCGGTAAAAACCCCAAACGCAACAACCCCCAAAACTGCTTCTCCAAAGGTGTCTTTTGTGTTTATCTTTGAAGTCCGACTCCGTGACCTCGGTAAGCTGGCCGCCACCTTGGTATTTGGGTTCCCCAACGCTCCCCTAGGATCCAGCTCCATATCTCGGGTTTGACGGCAGCATAGAATCATTGTCGCAACCCCAATTTGTTGAAGGCTCCGAATACACAACTTTTAAACGAACACATCATCGTTGTGTCGCAAATACCTAGCCACGTCTCAGTAATCGGGTATTGGTTCCGCTGTGCCAAGCTGCAGCCACTGGAGCCCGAGCGAGTACAGGACAGGCGATTCGGATAATTCCCAAAACCCAAGGCGAAAGAAACAGCAAGAATGGCACTCGGTAAGAAGATCTTATTCGCGATCCTTGCCCAAGCCCTCAAATCCAGATCCATTGGCGGGCATTGGCTACCACAAATACCATGAATGCGCACTCACTCGATAGCAGTTACGGCCGCAGCGCTGGCTGGCAGCATGGTCTCCAGCATGTACGTAGATGCCAAGTACCACATCTCCAAGGATGTCAAGGCCCTCCAAGGTCGACGGACGGTGACCAAATTTATCGAAAACTCGAGTAAGGACTGCCAGGGCCTATATGTACTTGAAGCTCGTGAGGTTAACGCAGGATACAGTCAAGACCGGCCGCGTTTCTCCCTATTATTTCTTCGAAGAAGCGGTCCAACAGGATCCCTACGGTGAAGCCATCTGGACACGAGGCGGTAGTGTGTCATGGAAGACGACCTACGACAGAGCGAACCAGTATGCACAGATGTTCTTGTCGCAAGGGGTCAGGCCAGGCGACTTTGTTGCGATCCTCATGCAGAATTCGCCCGACTTTGCATTCGCCTGGGTTGGGCTGCTTGCAATTGGCGCGGCGCCGGCCATGATCAACTACAACCTCGTGGGCAAGGCCCTCCTGGGCTGCATCGAGATCAGCACCGCCAAGCTCGTAGTCGTCGACGGAAGCCCCGATATTGCGGCCAAGTACAACGACGTACAGATCGAATTGGATCTCAAGGGAATCAGAGTCGTCAACATCGGAGAAGAGAGGGAAAGGATATACCAGACGGATCCAATTCGTCCGCGAGACGAGCTTCGGAAGAAACTGACGCCTGCCGATGCAATGGCCATGTTCTACACGAGGTAAGCTCGTTGGAATCGGGGCTTGACTGCGATATCTAACAATCGCAGTGGAACCACCGGCCTACCCAAGGCCGTCATCATGCCTGCCGCTGCCGCGGGTAGTCTCGCCTTATCGGTGAGCGTTTGTTGCGCACTCTGTCTTCCCCCGGTTTGCTGATCAGCTTAGAACGACATTGGCTTGCATCCGACAAAGAGCGGGAATGAAAGATGCTACATTTGTATGGTAAGTGAATGCGCCTATACGGTGATGACTGAAGTCTCTAAATGGATCAATATAGCCGTATTATCACGGGACTGGCGGTATTACCATGATATCCCAGATTTTGGTGAGTAGTTCCCGCCTTCTATTAGCGACTTCTGGCTTACACGTTATAGTCTGGTTCTACAGTCTGCATGGCGCCCAAATTCAGTGTCTCGAACTTCTGGGAAGATGTCCGTGACTCGCATGCGACTTGGTTCGTCTACGTTGGTGAGACTCTCCGATACCTCTTAGCCTCGCCGCCCTCGCCGCGCGACAAAGACCACAACATCCATGCTGTTTTCGGCAACGGCTGCCGACCCGACGTATGGAAACGGTTCCAAGAGAGGTTCGGCATCGATACGGTCTGCGAGTTCTATAACAGTACCGAGGGCGCACTGGGCCTTCGTAACCTCTCTCGGGGAGATTTCTTTGCGAATGCTCTCGGTCACCATGGGCTTCTGCTTCGACTCAAGTACAGGAACATGGTGGTTCCTGTGGAAATCGATTCGGAAACGGGGAATATCCAGCGAGACCCAAAGACTGGCCTGGCCCTGCGCACTTCGTATGAAGTCGGTGGCGAGATCCTGGTCGAGCATCCTGGAGAACGAGCGTTTCCGGGCTACTTCAATAACGAGGACGCCACCAACAAGAAGTTCGTCCGTGATATTCTGAAGAAGGGCGATTGCTTCTACCGGACTGGTGACTCTTTGAGACGCGATAGCGAAGGCAGATGGTTCTTCCTCGATCGGTAAGTGTTGGAATTATCTCGTACCGGCTGCATTCGCTTACACATATCCAGTCTGGGCGACACGTACCGCTGGAAAGGTGAGAATGTCTCGACCGCGGAAGTCTCAGAGGTCCTTGGTAGCTACCCAGGCGTCAACGAGGCAGTTGTCTACGGCGTTCAGCTTCCTGGACATGATGGTAAGGCTGGCGCGGCAGCCCTAGACATAGCTGCGGATCAGAAGGGGTCCTTCAACTATGCCGATTTCCTCAGGTTAGTAGACTTGGCCTCAAGATTCTGCATACAGCGAGACTGACCCGTCCACAGTTTTGCACGATCGAAGCTTCCGAGATATGCCGTACCGGTCTTCATTCGACTCTTGAACGAGGGAACCGCAACGCACAACAACAAACAGAACAAGGTGCCGCTGAAGAATGAGGGCGTGGACCCAAGTAAGATCCAAGGCGGCGATCAATTGTTGTGGATTGAGAAGCACGGGAAAGGAAGCACATATGTCCCATTCACTCAAGATGAATGGAACAACCTCGATATGGGAAAGGCTAAGCTGTAATTGTTCTAGAGAGACACGTAAAAGAACGGTGTGACGAGTAGTCATACATGAGCTCAAGATTTCCATCGAAAGGCCGGCCATGTTACCTTGCCAAAGATGCCTGTAGGTCTCGGGAACCTTACTGAAAGCCACCACTGCATACGACAGCTCTGCCTACACAGTACCGTAAGGTCTCGATACGAACACTATCAAAATATGCATCAAAAGTTGGACTCCAGACGCTCCGGACCGCTTGACCTGCATTCCCGCTCCAGTGCGGGAGATAGACTGTCGCTCATCTACTACTTATCCAATGAGAAGTATGTGATGTGAAATAGTTAAGTTCAAGCTTTGCGACGGCGCCTTCCAGGATGTGACGAACCCCGCACGACGCAATCACGCAGCAAGGCCTTGTTGCGCGGGGGAACACCCCTGCTCGGTTCACATGGAGATCAGCACGAAATGGGATGGCTGGGACCGAGGCCGGCAATAGACAGACAAGATGAGGTGAACCATGGGAACTGCTTGATTTGGCTGTCGTGTCCACGGGTTCTAGTTGATATGAGCTTCGTACCCCTTGTGGTAGCTGTTGCTTCGGTCCACTATTCCTTCGAGTTTGAAATCCATGGTTTGTCGTCAATATGGCCGGCATCAAGAGAACCCGCATCATATTTGCGCTGGTCATCACCGTCGTTCTGATCTTACTGTTCAAAAAGGGCGACGCGAATCCTCAAGCATCCCAATGGACACCCAACTCACCACCAGACGGCTCGTTCATCAATGTCGATATCCCTCCGGATCATATCGAGGTGCCCATCATCGACAATAACCTTCAATTCCAGCCGCCGCCAATCCAGGCGCATGTCCTTCTCGACGCGCATAAACTCCCGACAGCCGACGATTTCATCCCCCACTTCGCTGCCGTGACCAACATCAAGAGCATCTCCCAGCAAGAGGCTCGCGCATCATGTACCTGGCCAGCGGACATGTACGTCGATTTTCAATTCTCCGACTCTCTACCATGGGTTATTGAGGATCGGCCGGTGCTCGAAATTGAGCTGCGCAGGCGTGAGTGGCATGATTTCGTCAAGAGCGGCATGATCCCATACGCACGCGTCAAGGATCGCTTCTCCGGGCGAGGACTGGTCATAGTCGCGGGCAACGCCGACACGGTGATGCGCGTCAAGGTGATCTTGCGTCAGCTGAAGAGGCTCCGGTCCACAATTGCCATTGAGATTCACTATTGGGACACCGAGATGGACATGGCCGTCATGGCGGATCTCAATGCTCTCTATGAGCCGATATACTACAATGATCTCTCCAAAGAGCACAATGTTGTGCATATCAAGAAGGATGGGATCTTTGGGATCAACTACCAGCTGAAGACTGCCGCACTGCTCAACTCGCGTTGGGCCGAGCCTCTGCTGCTCGACTCCGACAACATTCCAATGATCGACCCATCGATTCTCTACGACTCGATGCAGTACACAGAATACCACTCCGTATTCTGGCCCGATATTGCTCGCACACGGCCTCAGAATCCCGCTTGGGCCATCTTCAACACGCCATGCAAAATGGCCGAGCACGAGCAGGAGAGCGGGCAGCTTCTGGTAGACAAACAGCGTTTCTGGTATCACCTCCAGCTCGCATCGTGGCTCAATAATGAGCAGGGGAAATACTACAATGAGATGCTGCTAGGCGACAAGGACATGTTCCGTTTCGCGTGGCACGCTCTACGGACGACATTTGGAAAGCCCAAGAAATGGGTCACGAGCGTCGGAACAGAGAATGATGGCTTCTACTGCGGACACTCGTTCGCGCAGCACCACCCCGACGATGGCCGCATCGCCTTCCTCCATGGAGGGCTCGTCAAGACTGCTCCTCTCGAAGTCATGAGATGGAACCGGGATGTGAAGGGCGGATATCTGCGGCATTACAAGAGGGCGCCGAGCGAAGAGAGTCCCGAGGTAAATGTCAACGTCGCCATCAAATGGGATGGCGCTACTTACATGCCTCAACATTCTGAGAAGTTCGTCGCGGCCCAGTGCACCGACATGTTTGATGTCCAGGCTAGAGACTTGAACGAGATTCTGCCTGGGGTCGAGCAGACGTTTCGCGAAATCGGTGGATACTGGCAGCTGGATCAGCAAGATGCGACGAAGCTGGGTCAGTTTGGGTCTTTACCTGCCAGCTGAAGTCCGAGGCGTTACGGCTTGCCAAACAGAACAAACAGAATCGCGAGGAGCCACGCTTGTGTGGTGCCCCTGATGATCCTCGACGGGCCGATGGCTTCTTACCTAGTGCGAGGCGCCAGTGAAAAGGAGGGAGGGTCAAAGACACCAAACAAAGGACAAAGAAGGTTTAGTGCCGTTGCCGCCGTCTTCTCGCGTTCAAAAACGTTCTTCTCACAGGAACACACAAAGACCAACACGAGGAAGCAGGATGCCACTCGGTCAGCTCGCTCAGACCGAGGTTCAAAGTAAGGCTTGAAGGCTTCGAGCTTATTCTATCAGCTTGTGTCTGACGAGTCAAAGCCGGACCGATGTCAGCAGCCCTCCTCGGACGAGGCGTGTCGGTGTCACACGGGAACGAGGGCATCTGGATTGTCAGAAAAGCTTGGCATGACAAGTCAAGAGAAGAGGCATTCACAAGGCTGAATTGAGAAGAGGGTGCTGAGCGATTCGATCATCTTCACAGGATACCATGTCGTTGCCATCAGAACATGAGGACATTAGAGTTGTTTGCGCGTCTAATCTATTATCGAGCAGTAACTTGCACTCCCGCTTCACGTCGACGAGTGTTCGAATCGTACGCACACGACACGCGAGCAACCTAGCAGGGAGGAAACGTAACGGAAATCCCTGTACCAAGATCCCTCTCCTTTTACGAGTTAGAAATAGCATCTTAATTATTGGACGATCCAGCTGATTGGCGCCCCATCCGAGCGTTAAAAGTTTCTGAGACAGCATCGGACGACAAGAAACGTCCATCCACACGCAGGAAAACAAGCTCAACGGCGGTCGTATCCAAAATGTTAGGGTCTTCTGGGCCATCCCACCTGATGTTTCAGGGGAACTTAGCCGCCAATCCGTGCCGTTGTGCGCTAGAAGCAACATTGGATTAGCGTCGGGATTGTGCAGCATACGGGATGCAACGCTAAAGCAACTCTCTCCTTTGTGGGATTGCGACTCGCGTTTTTACCCCTGAATAAGAGTCACTCTGCTAAGTCTGCTCCAACTCGGCGAGAGTCAGTTGCTGGATGGGGAACAGTGGTCTCGCCCGTAGATCGGATCTGGAATAGCACGGATACCAAGATGGGAGCTAAGAAATGTTATGCGTCTGAACTTACATCTTGTTCCTGGCACACATGCATCTTTCAGGGTCGGATGATGGGTGCATCGATACGAAGCACAGCGACTGACATTTGCAGACGTGGTGTCAATGAGGAAGTTCATGTCCGTACGCAACGCAAGTTGAACTACCTACACTTATTGACTAGCATTGCCTGCAGTAAACCTCGTCAGTATTGCACATGCCCCCACGTATAGAGCAGGGAAAATAACATCTAATGTACCTTACTCAGTGGTATCTCGACGTAGTATTAGTCGGCACACAGACCTCTTTGTTTCCTCCTGGTCAACGCCTCACTCACCGCTGTAGCAACCACCGTCTTCCCCCGGTCTAGCTGTCCAATCACGAACAAAATGATTCCTCGTCCGACTCTTCAAGGCTTCGTGGAGGCGAAGCAAAAGTACACATGGTGGCGCTCGGACTGGACCAACTCCTACTCGGTTGACTCGGCCCAATACGAGACTACGGGCGACTGACAGCAGATGAGAAGGAGGAAAAGCAAGCCCTTGCTACAACGTCGACGGCGTCGAGACGCCCTAGAACTAGTCAACACGATTAGAGACTCCTCATCTCCACAGTCAGCATTCAAGTGTACGATGGCTTCCTTTGCCAAGAATAGATTCGCAGAAGTGCGAGCACGGCCTCCCGGGCTTAGGAGCTATCGATGAGGATATAATGAACCCATGATGCCCAGTTTCTAGCACTTGGCTCATCAGGATACGCCTCATCATCTCCTTCGTCTCTATCATTCCTTCTCGATTCGATAGAATCATCCTTTCGTTCTGCGACTTTAGCCTACACATCATTTAGACCACTCTCTATCAACTTTCCTTCTTCCCGGTACGGAACTATTTCGAACTCATCATGCGTGTGTCAACTTTCCTTACCACCGCGCTCGCGGCCACGCCCATCATCGCCTACCCGGGCATGAAGAACACATTCGCCGAGATCCGCTCCCGCGCCGATGTAGACGGCAACGGCGCTGACGACGGAGACTCTAACGAGCTCATTGGCGATCTCATCGCCCTCGACGACTCCAAGCTCACCGCTGTTGGAAGCAGCGTCAAGAAGCTCCTTACCGGTTTCGATAACCCCGAGAGTGACGACGCCTACCCGACCGTTGGAAGATCAGGCACCCTCGCACCAAAGGGTTCAGCGGCTTGCGCTGCCGACACCTGCTGCATCTGGAAGTACATCGCCAACGATCTTCAGGGTACCTTCAGAGGCAGATCCGGCCGTTGCACCGACTTCGCCCGCGCTGCTGTCCGTCTTGGCTTCCACGATGCCGGCGGTTGGTCAAAGGGAACCGGCAACCTCGGCGGAGCTGACGGCTCTATCATTCTCGCTTCAGAGGAGATGACGCGCGGGGAGAACCACGGTCTCGAGGAGATTATTGCCCAGACCCAGGTCTGGTTCGACCGCTATAAGCAATTTGGAATCGGAATGGCCGATCTCATCCAGTTCTCCGCAAATGTAGCCACTGTCGTGTAAGTCATCCGGACCTTTTGTCTTGCAATCTGAGCATGAACTAATTTTGTGACAGCTGCCCCTTGGGTCCTCGCATCCGCACATACGTCGGCCGCAAGGACTCTTCCGTCCCTGCTCCTCTCAACCTTCTTCCTCCTGTCACCGGCTCTGCCGACTTCTTGATCGAGCTGTTTGAGAACAAGACCATCAAGCCCCACGGTCTCACCGCACTCATCGGCGCCCACACAACCAGCCAGCAGCGCTTCGTGGACCCCAGCCGCGCTGGCGACCCGCAGGACAGCACCCCCGGTGTCTGGGACGTCAAGTTCTACAAGGAGACCCTCGGCTCCGCTCCCGCCCGTGTCTTTAAGTTTGCCAGCGACGTCGTTCTCTCCAAGGACTCCCGCATCAGCTCCGAGTTCCAGGCTTTCGCTGGCCAGGGCGGGCAGTCCCACTGGAACCAGGACTACGCTCGCGAGTACATCCGCCTCTCTCTTCTTGGTGTCTTCAACATCAACGACCTAACTGAGTGCACCAAGGCCCTGCCTCCTCGTACCGGAAGCACCTTCACTGCTCCCGACCAGGCTGTTTTGGACAAGTGGCTTGCTACCAAGGACCGCCTTAACAACATCGCCGACCAGCTGAGGAACGGTGGCGACATCAATGGCATGATTGCCTCGGTCATGAGCTGGTTGAAGGGAGTTTTCCACTTCAGGTGGTAAACCCCTTTTGGTTTCCGCCCTGTCATGTCTGGGTCATAGAGGCGTTCGGGCCTGTTTTTGGTATATAGAAACCGCCGTATCCGGCAAGAGTAGATGCAAACCATATAATGTCTATACCTAATCTAAACCACAACTTGCTTCACTTGGTACATTTAGTAATCTAGAAGCTGTTTGTAACAGTGCCACTGCCTGTCTATATGTTTCTCATTGTGTGGTGCTCTCGCTAAAACTAAGCCAGACAAAAAAAGAAATAGAGATGCCAAGTACTTAATCTCATGGTCACATCGTTGTCTGTGACCAACAGTGAAATGTCCTCCCACCAGCACTCAACTTGGAACACGATTTAGCCAAGCTAGCATTGTAAACACGCATTACCCGTGTGTTGTGACTACTCTAAACGTGAGTGCCCTCATCACGACCCGCCCTAACTCCACAACGGCACAACTCGTCTCCCACCAGTCTTCTTGAGCAAATCTACGACACGCATCCGGCATCCAGAACATCGTACGATGCTTCAGGATCACTAGCCCTGGTGGTCTAGCGGTATGATTCTTCCTTAGGGCTTCAATAAGACTTTCGAGTCTTATCAGCCGGATTGGAAGAGGTCCCAGGTTCGAATCCTGGCCAGGGCCCAACCTTTTGCTCCAACAAGCTTCTTACACGTGCAAATGAGCTTTTTGTTCTAGGCGATATGTCACTGGAGGTGTCAAGTACTGAAAGGGGGGTTTGGAGACTGTATCTTGCATGATCATATCGATTTCGTCTCAGTAATTATTACTAGTGCCTCCAAAACGCTTCACAGTCTTGTAATGTGCTGACCAAAGTAAACTGTAAAACTCCGTGTCCCATGTAACTGTAACAAGTAGAATTCAATCCTCCTGAGACATCGCAATCACTTGGGAACGCAAACGCAATTGGCCGAGTTGTTTCCAGTACAAGATGATCCGCCGCGTTTCTATAGGGCTTGTGATCAGAACATAGATTTAAGATTCGATGGCAGTCGAGATGCCAAGAATGCTTCGCGCTTGTTACTTACCATCCCTTGCTTGCCACAGACCTCGTTACAAATTGCAACAGAGTCGCAACCTTCCCTAGGCGTTTGAGGCAACGCATTTGCGAAGTAGGCTAAAGCCATCAACAGAGTAGCGTATTCTTCATGTTGGTTGCAGAGGTATTGTGCGGGACTACAATAATAATTACTATGCAGACCGTGACTTTGATGGGTCTTTTCTAAAGTGGATGGTGTGGCTAAAGATCTTAGGGCTGTGAAGTATTGGACTTTGTTTGCATCGAGGGAAGGTACGTAAGTATTTATTCAAAGGCAACATTCGTGTTCACGCAGACAAGCAGAAAGCGAACGCGGTATTCAGCGCAGTCAGGCTGACCATGTCATGTCTCGGAAGGCGGTTGACTCATGTTGACCTGACGACAGACCATCGATTGATTCGTGCCCCGGATTTTCGTGTGTCGTCTCAAAAGTGAAACAAGCTCGAAGTTCAACTCGTGTTGTAGAAAGCTTAAGATGCTCGGTGATCTGAATTGCCGGAAATTTACCAATTCAGGAACCAAAGACCTGGGTTTTCAATCTTCGCCCTAGGCTACCTATATACACTGGGTTCGGGAATTCCTTGATTACCGAGAGCCTTTATAGGGCTACCTTTGTTTGAAAATGTCGCCGGTCACCCGCATCAGTTGAATTTCCGTGGATTTAGATTTGCCGCGTGCGCATCTAAGAGATGCTGATGGTGAACTTCTTGAATCGTGCATAGCATCGATTACCGCTTGGATGTTTCGGATGAACTGATAAGTTGACGAGCACTCATGGGATTGGATGCCAATATGTCCAGGCATGCAAGGAAATCTTGCCCTCTCGAGACTTCTTACTTCAGGCCCAAGGTTCCGAGTACTATGGCTAGGTATCATGTCTGAACAAAATAGCGAGTTGAGAAAAGGAAATATGATTAGATGGATGGAAGCACAAGTTGAGGTTACAGCTTGTGCAGCAATAGATATTCAATAACACTGGCCTACAGCAAGGGGCGATGCCTGAAGCTGTCCTCTATCCTAGGAACATTTCACTTAGATGAAGTTTGGATGAAATAGGATACTCTGAAGCCTCAAGCTTCCGACAGTGTCGTGTTAAATAGCCATACTCTGACCTCAGTGAAATAATTTCATCTTTGAACAGAAAGCACTTAGTGCTTACTTATACAAGAGTAACTTTACGAAGACTTGAACACTACCCCATTACCTGCATTTCTGGGATCCCGGTCATGATATAAGCTGCATTTGTGTTCTTTTGTAAGCAGGTTGCTCCTTTACGAAAGTTCCATCTTAAACGCTCTGAAGTCCGGCCATCAGACCGTCCTTCCCGGTTTGTTCGGGCATCGTCGCCTCAGTTACACGCTAGCTTCAAAACTCAAACCTCTCTCGACCGTTCGCTGCATTCAGATTTCGATTTAAAAACCAGCGTTGGAAGAACTTTGGTGTTTGCGAGTGATCTGAAAGTCTTGGCACCTTCTTCATTTGCAATCGCCCTCAAGAACTAGAAGCGGCGCAGTCATGTCTACTAGGCTCAAAGAGAAATCTCTCAACACTCGGCCGCCTCGGAACGAACCTAAATGCAGCCTTGCAATGTCCATGGTTCCGGCGAACCGAGAAGGCGGCTCAGCAGCGAACCCCAGATTGTGACCAGGGGTCTTGACGAAAGTTCCAATTCTTTCTGTCGGCCGCGTGACCACGTCTAGTGTTGCAGATATTTTAAAAGGTCTTCAATGCTGTCAAGAACCTTTGTTATGAGCTGAACTGAACGCAAGTTGAGTTGATAATCCAGCGCTCAAGGAATCAAGACGTTTGATTCGCTTGGTGCCGAACATTGTTTCATTGTATCACTCGCGGAGCGTCTTGTCGCTCGAAAACAAACTCATATGCTTAAAAGGATTTAAGTTCTGTCTGACGATTTTGTGAGGGTCGCCTGTTGCCACAAAGTGACAAGCGAAGTCCGATAGTCTCAGGGGTCGTGAACTTTCCACCACTTACAGACGTTCAATCCCACAACCAAGCGAGAAGTCCGAGGAACTAGGTGCGTAGGCGAAGGGGGTGAAATTTGACTGTTCGAAGGATCAAAGCTGAACATCGAGAGCGTAGTCACACTTGTGGACCCTTTCGATGTTAACTTCAGCTGATTCGGTCGTCAGGAGGTCCAGGTCATGGATTAGTCCTCGTCGAGGGACGTGACATTGTCTATACCTCCAGGCGTAAGGTGAGAACAGAATAAGCCTCACTCTTTGATGTCATTGCTAGTAGCCAAACCCAAGTTCTACACACGATTAGTGGGGTGTATTAAGATGAACACGACTCCCGCAGCTGTCAGCTTTGCATGCATACCCTCAATCAAGTGGGCCATGAGGCAGGAAAGCTCCCGGTCAACACCAAAGTCCCATTCTTCAGCGATTGATTGTCGATTTCTCTGAGCTTCCACTTTGTAGTTGCTTATCACGGAGCCGAGGACTGCGAGCTTTGTTCACAACCAGAGCGATATAAATAGTTGAGGCCATCTCGCTCAAAGTAAGACCAATTCTTGAAACATCAAGGCTACGACAACTCTCTTTCCCAATCCAGCTTTGTTCACCGGTATTCACTCTCAAAATTCATCATGAAGACCTCTACTGTCATTCTTGGTCTCGTCGCAACTGCGGCCTCTTCAGCCATTCCAAGCGAGGTCAGTGTCGGCAAGAAGCTGAACATTTGAGAAATCACTGACATGACTGGTCTAGCCTCGCGATGTTGAAGTCGAGTACGCGCCGCTTCCTTTCCCCATAGGCGAGGCCGGATGGGTTGGAGTCTTGGAGGAGGGAGGCCCCGTGGTTGAGGTCTGGGGATCCGACCTACTCGTAAGATGATTTCTTGTCCTTGTAGTGCCAATCTTTCCTCTTACTTACAACGCGCTTAGGATATTGAAGCAAAGGTCCAGGAGGAGCATGGAACATCCATCTTCAATGGCACCGTCGATGTCGAAGGCATTCCCGCCACCCACGAGGCTGCCACGGCATTCTACAACGATGCCCAGAACGCCAAGCGATCCCTTGAGAAGAGGGTATGTACCACATTCTATGTCCTGAGTCTTCACTTTCACTAGCAAGTAACTGACGAGATGATACACCAGGCCCCTAATTGTTTCGAGAAGTGGGGCAAGGTGGATGGCTTTCAGGTCAACACTGGCGTGAACAATCTCCGTGCCGTCAACGGAGGTTGCAAGGTCAGAGCCCGCCAGTGCATTCGTACCCAGTGTGTCGGCGAAGCGGCCATCGCTCTTTGCAATGACAACTACTACGACCTCGAGGTCTCATGCGGTCACGTCGCCGACCTTGCGCAGGCTATCGCTCACGACTGCATTTGGGTGGACATCTGCAGCGACCCGAAGCAGCCAGCCCATATCTGTAAGACTTGGTCTGCTGGCCAGAACTTTGACGGCAGCCATAATGTCATTGTCGGCAACTGTGGTGCTGTCAGCTCTAGCGGTCAGCCTGTCAAGGCTTGAAGTCCCGTCAGGGCCACGATGGATTAGCCTACGAGTACGCCAGCAAATTTCTTACGCTTACGCCTACGCCTACGCCTGTGGGACATCCTTCTCAGCTGCTTTATTTGCGTTTTCAATAATCGAGTAGATCACTGAGAGACTGTGATATGAGAGATCAACCCAGGGTAGGAAGTGTCTATTTGCCTCAACATACACGTAGCCTTGAGACAGTCCAACAAGTCAATCAAATTATGATTCGCCTTGGCGTCTTTGGCATCTTCAGCCAATGAAAGCACGACTCGCATTTCAAGATCAAATGCCGGGACTCTTATCTCCTCGCAAAGATTCTAATAGAAAACTAGATCAGCTCGGAGATGTCCAGATGCCGGCGGTGACGGACTGATTCCTAACGGTCGGCAGACAAGAGTATCATCCTGCTTAGCTCGCCTCTAAGTGCCCTCTTATTCCATATCGTCCCATTCTCATGCTTTTGCAGGGAACACTTGCGCCCCGGAGAATCTGCAAGATGTCTCGCAAATTGCGTACGCCTACAACTGGCTCCACGATGCTCCTTATTTGGACCTGAAGACTTCTCTACTCCCGTTGGCTGGCTACAAGCGGCTCCAGCAGTGTCGTACACCTTCTACTGATGGAGAAGACGAGCCTACCGATGTAAATGGCTTCGACATCTTCCCCGTTCGAGCTGGTCTGCCTTGGCCAACGGGATTCCCCAAGGCACGCCAGAGCCGCCACTGGGAGGCCGGACTGAGAATCTCTTCAGAGCTCCTGGAGTTGTTCAGCACTGATTCCAGCATGTTCACCGCCGTCAAGCTCAACGGCAGGTCCCTTGCCAAGATTGCTTCCCACGAACTTTTGCTACCGGAAGAGGACCGTTTTACCAAGTTTGCCACGTACCTCTTTCCTGAAGCAGACAAGGAGAGAACCCGCCTTCTTGCAGCCACCATCGTATTCATTGTCATCTTTGACGGTAAGTAAGAATGCACACCTGTTTGTCTTTCGAAATTACTGAAATATTCCGCAGACTCGTGGGAGATGCATAGCGAGGACAAGGTACGATGTCCATCCCTGCAAAGCTGATCCCTACCACCGAGTTAGCACTAACCCAGGATTCTAGCTCGGTGTTGTTCGTGATGACTTTCTCCGTCGCCTGGAATCCAACGGAGAGAAAGAACAGTCCAAGTCCGAGCTGCAGTCGCTCATCGGTTACGTTGTAGATGGACTCAAGAGCCACAACAAGATCGCCGGCAACGGAGGCCAGGAGGTGATTGACCGACTCGCGGACTTTTGTCGACACGTCCCGCCCCAGTCGAACTTTGCCAGCCTGGCAGACTACTTGTCCTACCGCAACATAGATGCGGGTGTCCCGTGAGTTCAATCTTCATCCAACTCCCACGCGCGCTTCTCCCCGTTACAAAAGGCCCGACCCGCAACTAATAATCGAATGTTTGCAAGATATATCTTGGCATGTGTGAATTTCTCGCTAGGGTCCGACGTTGCGATTGAGGACCCCAAAATGGCCAGGATCCTACGTCTGGTTAGCGACCACGTGTCGCTCGTCAACGACCTGGCCTCTTTCGACAAGGAGCTGAAGGCACTTCAGGACGGCAAGGTCTGCTACATGATCAACGCCGTCGACGTCGTGCGTCGTCTGCTGGGGTTGGCTTCCTATTCTGCCGCCAAGGCCGTCACTTACAGCGTGCAGCTGGAAGTGGAGGCTCAGATGGAGGAGGAGCTGAAGAGGCTTGCCAAAGGAAGAATGTTGTCCCCCAAGGAGGAACAGTTCGTTTCCGCCGCCCTGACCATGACGGCGGGGAACCTGTTTTACTCGGTTGTAACTTCTAGATATGGTGGAGAGGCTGCCATGATCGATGTCTAACGATAGACATGCTCCCTAAGGCGCTTGTGGAGCGCGTTCGAGTCGGAGAGTTACATCGATCCAAATATAGGCTTTTGAGATATGTATACAATGTAACGATTCTACGTGGGATATGCAGGGTCATCAGTACTACAGTATCAAAAGTGCCTCCCAAGGATCTATCCTATCTCCCCCTAGCACGCGTGGCTGTGGAACTACACCACCCTAAAGGACGGAATAGTCCGCTACCGATACTCCAAGCACCGAGCGAATCATGAAGTCTCTATATCATGATGTCTCAATTCATCCATAAGGTAGTCGACAACTAATAACGATTTGGCAGCGCTTTACGAACACGGAAACAGCGTAATGTCACTTCTAAACCTGCTCCAAGTGCTTTCGAGCCACTGGTTCGGAGTCTGCCTGGCCATCTTTGTCCTTCGCGCTCTCTATCGCCGTTATGCTCCTAGCCTCAGAGGCATCCCTGCAGTCAACTTCTTAGCAACGGTGAGCCGCTGGAACAAGGTCTTCCAAGTGCTGTCAACTCGTGCTGAGAGGAACTTGTTAGAAGCGCATAGGAAGCTCGGTCAGTCTATAGATCAAGTTGAATGTGCTATCATTGTTGAGACTGAACGATCTAGGCCCCATCGTCCGCATCGCCTATAACGAAGTCTCAATAGCAGACCCAGAAGCTATCCCCATCATCTTTGATAGTGAACAGAGATTCGTCAAGGTGAGTTCGCATCCTTCAAAGACATTGAGCAGTTGGAAAACCACTAATCCGAAAAAGACAGACTGGTATTACATGTTTGGTTTCCCAACACCAGAGGACGCCAACCTTTTCTCCGTCATCGATCCAGTCGAGCACAAGCGCATGAAGCGCAATGTCGCGCCAGCATTCTCCATGTCCGCCCTCATGGCCTTGGAAGAGTTTGTCGACTCAACCGTGACGCTCTTCATCCAGTGCATGGATGAGCTCGCCATAGCCCCTTCAGTACCGCGGTCACAGCGTAAGCGACCCATCAACATGGTGGAGTGGTTTCAGTGGTACGCCTTTGACGTGGTAGGCGAGCTGAGCTTCTCGCGCCGCCTCGGCTTTCTTGACACCAAATCCGACGTGGGAAACATGACAAAGGTGCTTGACAGCTTCATCCAGTACGCATCCACAGTGGCAATGATGCCGGAGCTTCACAAATTCCTCTTTGGAAACCCGCTGGTAGCTGCGTTCCTGAGTCCTCCGGCGCTAGTCATCTCAGACGTCACCAAGCAGGAGATGGACAGGCGTGAAGCGGACCCAGATGCAGTGCACTCCGACATCATGGATAAGATCATCCAGTCCCAAGAAAAGATTGGGCCTGAGGAGTTTCCGCATGGCGAAATCTTCCAGCATGCCGTGGTCAACTTATCCGGGGGCTCAGACACCACCGGCATTGCCATGGACTCCTTCATCTACCACCTCCTCAAGAACCAGAAGGCCTACGAGAAGCTACAGGCGGAGATAGACGAGGCCGCGACCAAAGGTAACCTGTCGGATCCGCCAAGGTACAGCGAGACAAATCACCAGGCCATGCCGTACCTAGCGGCATGCATTAAAGAAGCCCTTCGCATCCACCCGCCCGTCACCACCACCCTCCCGCGCCACGTGCCGCGAGGCGGAGCTTACATCTGCGGCCGATTCTTCCCAGGTGGCACCCGCGTAAGCGTCTCGCCGTTCGTCGTGGCGAGAGACAAGAACCTCTTTGGGGAAGACTCGGATGCGTTTCGGCCGGAGCGTTGGCTCGAGTGCTCGCCTGAGAGAGCTTTTGACATGGAGAATGGCTGTTTGCATGTAAGTCATCCTCCGATATGTGACTGCTTCTTTAGCCTGATGCTGACTACAATGAAGTTCTCTCATGGCGCGCGCATATGTCTAGGACGCCACATCGCCGTCATGGAAATATGCAAGGTTATGGTTGCGCTACTGAGACGGTTCCGCCTGGAACTCGCTGCCCCGGACGAAGCATGGGATGTGCGCACTTACAATTTGCCAAAGCCAAAGTCACTCAATGTCTATATTATGCGTAGAGAATGACTCAAAATTCCTGCCAACATGAATCAAGACTGTACCTCATCTCTGTGGAACTGCCTGTCAGACTTACCAACGATCGTAGTCTCCAATGTCTTCCTCAAAATAGCTCTCCTTAACTCGCGTGAACCCAACTTTTGGTCCATCAACGGGCCACGGCTCACCTTCTCCAGTAGCAAACAACGCAAAAGATGCACCAGTGAACACATAATACCCCGTCGGCGCGAAAGCCTGCCACCGTGATTCAATCTTCGTGACATACGTCGGTTCGTCATCGCCAATGCTATATCCCAGGTGGTATGTCAACGGTTCAGCCCGAATATGAAATCTCAGCCCGTTCTTGAGTAGAGAAGATGAGTTGAGGGTCTGTTGCCAGGACTATCATTTACTTCAAGTCAGCATACTCCCATCATCCAATTCCTCGAATCCAAAGCCAGCAAAGACAGCCCAAGAAATAGGAACAACTTACATCCACAGTGCCATTTCTCCTCACTTCCGTATACAAACACGTGCCCCCAATCCCACCATCGCACCCCTTGACACCAATATCCTGATGCTGGAACTCGCTCAAATAACTCGACACCCCAACCCTCATCCTCTGCCCCAACACGCCCTCGAACCCAAGCAGCTCCGCAGAAAATGTCATGTTCAACGACGTCTGCTTCCGCAGCACCGCCGCGGGGTGATCCCGGTCACTCAAGCCAAATACGTTGGGCTTGAAGACCAGACGCCCGTTGTAGACGTCGTATGACTTGACATACGGCGTTCGGAGCTGGTACCACGAGGGATCAAGCTCCTTTCCGGAGAAGTCGTCCACCCAAGGGGCTAGTGTCTTTCTGGCTCCTGTTTTGGGTCCGACCTCTTCGCTAAGAATAATGGGCTTGCCGTTATTGATGATGGGCCAGTCGTTCTCCCACGTCACCTTCGCCAGGAACGTCTCGCGGCCTGTACCCGTCATCTTAGCATTCCCGTCTACTAGCCTGTGAGGCAGCATCTGTTGATGACACGTACCTAGTGGCGAGCTGCCATTCACATTCCGCCTCGCAATAAACGAAGCATACCACTCCCCATTGGCAGCCTCCACAAACGTCGCGTGCCCCGTTGACTGCACAGTCAAGTTCTTGGCCCCCCATTGTCCATTGTACATGAGAGGATTATGCGGACAGGCCTCAAAAGGCCCAGACGGCGACTTGCTCCTAGCAATCGAGGTACGGTGCAACTCATCGGTGCCACCTATCCTCCACGTCAGTCCCACGCACGCACAAACACACGCAAAGCAGCATCACAGAACCATCAAAGACTCACCCTCAGCAATAACCAAATAATACCACCCGCCTCTCAAAAACATCTTCGGCCCCTCCGGCCTAGCCGTCGCACTCCTCTCCAACGTCCCATTCCAAAGACTCCTATACCCTCCGACACACGCCCCGCTCGAAAGCGAAACCTCACACTGCGCGATACCCCAAAGCCTCTCCTGATTATTGTTCGGCGCCATCAGATTCAAATACGTCTGCCCCGTCGACAAATCATGAAAAAGCTCCGGATCGATGCCCCACGGCTCCGCCCACACGGGGTCGGACCAGGTCACGAGGTCCGGGGAGGAGATGAACCACACCCGCGGCCAGACGCGGGCTACGGGATCGTAGGTCCAGCGCGTCATGCCCGAGAGCCAGAATTTACCGTGGAAGTGGGCTAGGCTGGGTGCCCAGGCGCCTGCGATGAGATGTTAGTGAGGTGGATTCAGATGGCGATGCACCCACTACGAGGGGCTCGTGGGGGAGACGGCGGGGCATTGGTACCAGCTCCGGTAGGGACGCCGTAGAGTTGCAACTGCTCCGGCCTCGTCAAGGCGTGCGAAATGAGCGTCCAATTCGACAGATCCTTGCCTATTCACACCGCGTCAGCATGAGACACATGATACCTGACAGGCACCATGGGTGTCGTTGATCATACTGTGATAAATCGGCATCCCAGGCCAGTACTCAAAAGACGACGTGGCGATATAATAGTCATCCCCCACCCGGAGCATCGCGGGATCAGGGTTGAAGCCCGAGATAATGGGGTTCCCAATCGCGCATGCTGGTGTGAGCGAGAGGCACAGCGCGAATAGCACACGTATGGCGACGAGCATCTTCGTGGTTTGCTTCCTACTCACCTACCCAACTGAGATGTCATCGAGGTTTGAGCCGTTCGTATGCTGTTCGATGATAATCACCGCAGTGCAGATGAAGATTTATCATGACATTCCGTCTGACGCTGATCGGCACGTTTTGGCGTGGCCGGGGTATTGCCCGGAGTGGACCCCGAAAACCAGCAACCTACCGGACCATGAGCCGGGCAGTTCCGCCGAACGTCACGCTGTCCATCTGGCGGAAAATCAATAATCACACAAGGCTCGGCCACGGTCCACGTTGCGTATCACTCAGATTTGCTGTCAAAAGTTGATGTTGATGAATTTGATTGCTCCCAATTCTCTTACTATGGTATATCAGACTCCGACCTTTGCACTACTACCCCACCCTAGTCACAGCCTTGAAATGTTCCGACATTCTCCAGACTCGAAATGACTGTGTACTAGCCCTCCCACCTGATCTTAAAGTCCTCCAGATGGTAGACGCCAGGCCCGCCACCAAAATGCACACAAACTCATCCCAAAAACGAGGACCCCGCCCTATTAATGCTCCCTCCGGAAGCCTAATGTGGAACAGACTGAGCACCGAAGTGACTCCGCCAGAGAAGAAAGAATGAAGAGAAATAAGAAATATACAATAGGAACCCAGTGGTCGTAGACATCGACATTTGGGGGTAATTGAAAGAAAGCGAAAACAATGGCAAAAATACAAAAACGTTCTCATAGATTCGTGACGACCATTTTCTCTCTTTTTTAACCCCGCCATCCGTTTTAATGATACTGAGAGATGATTAGAGATGAAGAGATTCGTGGCGGTTGTATTGGGAGTGTTCAAATCATGCCGCCGGGCATGTTTCCGTTGTTCAAGCCCCCTGTCATAGCCATAGGCGCGGGCATGTTGGGAGGGCTGTTGCCCCGGGTCAACCGGGCACGCATGTTCATGCCATTAGCTTCGCTGATGGTCTTCCGAAGGCGGCGTCGCTGGGAACCAGGACCATCCTCTTCGTCGCTTACGGAGAACGCACTGTGGCTGTCACCACCGTGCTCAGTGGGAATCGGCGGAGGGGAGAAGGGTAGATGAGGAGAGCTTGCGCCCATGTCTTCGTCTCCTCGGCGGCCCATCATGGAACCGATCATGTTGCGACGCTTCGGGTTGATCGGAGGCAGAGGAGGAGCGTTGATATTGGCGTGCACACTGCCGTGAAGGTTTGGCGTCGAGGCGGCCGCACCGAGGATGCTGCCGGATCGCGAGCGAGAACCACTCCTAGAACGGGACTCTGAGGTCTCAGGGAGAGCCACAGTTGGTACGCGAGAGGTTGAAGAGACGAAGGTGGGCTCAGAAATATCCTTCTTCCTGACCACTCTCTTCATCGACTCATCGAGACGGCTGACAGGCGCAGCCTCCATGTTGGGCGACGGCACAGGAGGTGCGGAAGGTCGGCGAGAGGGGACGAAAGCGGGTGAAGACTGGCTGACGGGGATGGATGGTGACGGGATAGGAGCCATTGGGGAAATGGGCGAAGGCTGCCCGGAATCAGGTCCACGTCTGCGGTACTGAACCGCCAGGTTGCCCTGGGATGCAGACCGATCGAGAGACTTTCCTTGAGCCGCCCCGACTGGGTATGGCTGAGGAGGCATAATCGGAGACCGGCGAATGTTCGTACCGGGGAGGCCCGGCGAGTTCAGCATTTGAGGTCTAGTCGGAGGAGGGACCATGCCGCGCTGCTCTTCGTGGGGCGACGAGATGGTGCCGGTACGCAAGCGTGCTGGACGATGAGGCCTGTCTCCGCTGCTAGCTTCAGAGCCGCTGCGGTCACGCTCAGTCCGAGAAGGAGGGCGGGAGGGCCCTCGGCCGGGACCGTTGTTAGGTTGCGCCTCCTCACTGGGTGCCCGCTGCTGGTAGGTGACAGGAGGCGGTCGGCGCTCGCGAGATGGCGATCGCGGACCGGGAGTGCGCTCGCGGCTAGGTGCGGTCCTGGACGCAGGTGGGCCAACCATTGGAACCGATGCGGAGCCAGGCATTTGACCAGGATTGATAGGCACACTTGATGGGCTCTTCTGAGCCTCCATCAGCCGTCGCCTAGCTTGTCTGAATGCCTGGAGCCCAGCATGCATAGAGTCGTCCTCCTTGTCCTTCTCCGGCTCGTGCGTGGGAAGCACCGGCGCTGTTTCGGCCCGGGGGAACGCTGGCTTCTCCCGCTCTTCCTGAACAGGTGACTGAGGTTCCTTCTCCTCGAAGCTTGATTTATTGGGGCTAGGAGCGCTGCTGATGGTTGAAGTCGCAAGGCCAAGCATCTTGATGGCCTTTGAGTGCTGGCTATCGACGCGGTTCTCGCGGTTGCGATCAATCAAAGAACCTCGACTCGTCTTCTGTCTCAAGATGCCCAGTGGGTTCGGACGGGGCAACGATGGCTCTCTTGTACGATCGACGGGGTGAGGTGAGAGGGACCTGCTATCGCGGTCAGACTCCACATAGGAAGTCAGTCTCTCACGAACCCGGCGCGCGCGGTCAGCGAGTTGGTTGGCAAACTCGTCGTGTTCCTTTTCCATTTCGGTGCTTGACCCTGTATTGCGCTCAGAGGCAGGCTGGTTCTCTGATGGAAGCGTTTGACGAGGCTGCGAAGTAAGCTCAGGAATTGCCGATTCCTTCTGATCGTTAGATGGCTGCTCCTTCTCGTTGAACGTCGAATTTCTCCAGTCTGGGGACTGGACTTCCCAAGGGTTGGCCATCACTCCCATATCCGCCATAGACTTGGGGTCATATGGATCAAGAGGGAACCTGGAAGCAAAGTTGGATGTCTGCGGCGCTGAGCCATAGATGGACGAGGTAGCACTGTCAGTTCGCAGGTGCTGGCGGACCATTCCGCTGAGGCCGGCGGACGAGGGAAGAGTCGGAGAGTCTTGGGGCGAGCTCGTCGATTCAGCGGATACGGCAGTAAAAGGTAGATCGGACACGGGCGATGGCTCCACCGACGCGCCGGTGCTCAACGAGAGAGGTGTTGGCACGGCAAAGTCCCTGAGTGCGGGATGGTCGCGATCAGCAGGGCGCCTTGCAGCGCCATGGAACACAGCAGCTGGGTTCGTCGCGTCGTCTTGGGGGGAAAGCGAATCGTCGTAGAAGCTCAGCCCAGCTTCCTCTTCCTTCACTGTCGGCTCTGTACGAATTATCGGTTCGGGCTTCTCGACCGGCAGCCTCTGGGCCGACGAGGATGAACGGGATCGGCCGGTAGTTTGTGATGCATTAGACTCTGTGCGGAATCTGTTGGTCGGCGTCTCTCGGCCTTGTTGGAGTTGGAGCTGCCTTTGAGCATATCTAGACTCGTCGTAGGAGTGAAGAGGCTTTTGGAACAGCCCCATGGCGGTAGCCTTGCCCCGGTCACTGGGGAGGACAGAGCTCTCCTCCCCTTCACTGATGGGTGGGCTCAGAGGAGGTGCACCTCCAAACGAAGATTTGGGTTCGGAGTTGGTAGGCACGTTGATGCCCAAGTCCATGGGGACGATCGGTGATCCCATGGTCGGGGGGCTAGCGGATCGCAGGTTCGGAGCGCTCCCCTTGGCCAAGATCCTCCTCTCATTGCCAAAACGATCGCTGAAGAGGCTACTTGTGGGTGAAGGTCCGTTTTGAAGGTCAGGGGTCCTGCTGCCGAGTGTTCGCTGCCGAGAAAGGGTGTCCATCCGCGACAGAGCCGAAGATTGTTGCTCTTGGAGATCATGGTTGAGTCCTGTCTCGTAGAGACGGCGTGCGCGGGTTACGCTTCGGTCGAGGTTAGGAGTGCCAGTTGCCGAGCTTGGTGCTGTCGGGTTCGACTGCCAATCTTTGGCTGCCGATGTGGGTTGGGACATGACTGAAGTGGCTGCCGTGGAATTCCGGCCCAGTGATGGTGTCGATGATGTAGTTGAGTTGGTTTCTCTCTTGCGGTCGTAACCCAATGGTGGAGGTGATTCCGCACGTGGGAGATCGATGCTCGAGGGCTTCTGGTCCTGTTCGTCGTCAAATGATTGCTTAGACTTCTCCGTCTGCCTCCATTTCTGGAAGGCTGACTTGGCGACGTCGTCGTCGTAGAGAACGCGGCCACTCATGCCACCGCCGTCGAGGTTCTTGGTGGAAACAGCACCGGAACCGAGCTTGTAAACTTTTTGGCGTCCACCAAATAGGTTGTTGCCTTCTCCTGGCTTGGCTCGGTCCATAACGCTCCCCGAGATGGAGTTCCCATCAGCAGAGTGGTAGGAATCCATCCGGTTAAATGGCACTTCTTTTCTGATTGACTCAACCTCGGCGATGTCTGACAATCCGTTTGTACCAGGCCCAAAGCCAAAGTCTAGCATCCTCGACTGGCGCTTCGGGAACAAAACGCTGTCGTCGCTGGCCTTGCCAATTTTTGTGTTCGGGTCGTCTTGTTCTCTCAGCATGGAGAACCGTGCAGATAGCCCAGTCATGAGCAGACTCGTTCGGAAGTCGTCGCTGTGGGGCAGGGCATTCTCGAGATCCAGTTCCTTCTTTGGCTCTTCTTCTTGTGACTTCTTGCCCTTGCCAAATAAACGGAATGGTGCGGGAGACTCTGACTCGTGGGAAGCTCGAGGCGTGGAAGAGGCGGCATCATCCTTCGCCCTCTTCTTGGTGCGAAATCTGTTCATTGTGAATTATCAGGTTCTGCCTCGTCGGCAGAGGAGCTTGGTGTGTAGGGTCGACAAACGGTCCCTCCTTTCCTTCTCAAGTCGATTTATCAAGCTTAAGCGTCGGTGCTCTTCATTAAGCGGTGTCCATTAATGGTAGTTGGGATGGTAGATCGAGAAGTTAGGACGAAGGGCGAAAGTTTGTTTGAAACGGGCAATGTTCGCTCGGGACGATTGGCCAAGAGTGCGTCTGAAGTCGAAATGCGGGATGGCTAGACACGAATAGCAGAATCGTCAGCAAAGATTTGACAGGAACCCTGGGACACACGACCACGTTCCGGTCTCAGCTCCAGACGGCTTCTTCAGCTTTTTGCGGCGGCCAAGTAGCAATTGAGTTCAGCAAGGCGTCGGAGACGCTTAAAGCTGTGCTTGAGCCTCGTCGCAGCTGGGACCTTGGGATGAAAGCGTCGGCTGGGGGTTCTGGGAGAAAATGCAACGGATATCAACGACGGGGCGGGTACGTGGGCAGCGGGACATGGCCAAGATGGAGAGAGAGCAGATATGTCAAGCAAGAAACGTACCTGGATCAGATATGTCGCTGTGTCGGGGGTGTTTCAGCAAGATGGAGTTGTGTCCAGGCTGTCAACGTCGCATGTAGACCTTTTCTTGCTCCTGGAGACCCAAAGCAGCGTCGATCCTTCTTCCTTCAAGCGTCTCAGCGAGAGAGAAAGGTGCTAGCGAGAATGAGATGTGCTTGGACGACAAAATCCAAAGCGTCAAGTCGAGAAGAAGGAGTAGTGTGTTGTGTACACCAGAATAGACTCCTCTTATTTCCTCCAAGTCTAGGGTCGTACACGGATTCCAATGGTGTCCTGCGCAATAGGCTGGCGGCAGCGACAGGTGCGTCGAGATTGGTCTGGTGACTGTACGAGGTGTAGGAACCAGGCGTAACGTGTTGGCAGCGGCGAGCGAGGTGGATATATTCCGTGGGGAGACGAGGTGGAATATGGCTGAATCGCGGTTTGCTGATAAGAAAGGGAGAAATCCCGTCGGGGGTAATTCGACAATCCCGGTCGAGTGATCTTGTTTGGGGGGACCAAAGGTTGCAGAGATACTGGATCTCGCAATGCCGTTCGATTTTTTTTAGGCGAGGTCAACCAGACAGGGCGGCGAGCAGCGTCGATAGTGTTGTATTGGAAGACTCGAAGTCGAGAAGACGGCGGAAAGGAAGAGACGCGAGAGAGAGCGAGTGTGTGTGTGTGTGTGTAAGAGAGAGTAAGGTATGTTGTGTGTGTGTGTTGAGAAAAGAAGGACTCGGGTGGGAATGTGGCAAGCTCTCTTGGGAAACCTTTTTTTTTCCTTCCCTCACCTGGGTTTTCTTCCTGGCAGGCAAACAAGAGGGAAACCAGAGGAAGAAGAGAAAGAAAAGCAACGAGTGACTTGGGTTCAGTTTAGTGTACTAGTACTTCGTAGAGGCGCTGATCAGATCCAGAGCTAGGCTCGTCGCTTGGTGGAGAGGGAAAAAAAAAGTACGGAGTAGAGGGCAGCAAGAGGAGGGGGGAGAATGAAGGTAGGCGAGAAGCAAGGAAGGCCGATGGAAGCAAAAGTGAACGACTGGAGAGGGTTGAATTGGATTGCGAGTGACGGGGAGAAAGGAGTGACCCAGGAGCCCAAAGGAGGGAAAAGAAGAATTGCGGACGCAGTGCAGGGACAGGGTGACAGGCACAAGAAATTGGAGAATCCGAGCCACGAACGGGGGGTGGTTGTGGGTGTCACGGTGTGAGGACGACAGGGGAGAGGAGGAGGAGATTCGTCGATGTAAGCATATACGTAGTCTGTACACGGTATGGAGGAAGAGAGGTAGGTGTGTGGGTGTGAATAGGACGAGGTTAGGGAGAACGGCGTGGACGGGGAGAGGCGGACTGGGATTGTGGCTGCACGACGGGACGGATGGTGATGGTCGAAGCAGGGGGGGGGCTGATAGGGGTGTGGGATGAATCATGAGATTGGGTTTATGAGTGTGGACTGTGGGAACCTGGGAATGGCAATGAGTGAGTGTGAGTGGTCACTCAGTGATCATAAGGTAGGTAGTGAGTGACAAGTGTGAGTTTTCCTACAGAGTAGTGAATGTGAGTGTGAGTGAGTATTGCGAGTGAGGTGAGGCTAGCATTAGGGCTCTTGCTGCGTAGGATGAAAAGAGAATAAATTCCCATCGTCCCCGCTCACTACGCTCATGACGGTCCTAACAGGTAATGCGCTGGAATAGTCGTCATCTCATCGGCTCACCAGACAGGAGAGTCGACTAGGGACGGGGCTACGGGATCAGAGGGATGAGACTCATTCGAGAGGCACGATGGCGGCACTAAGAGAAAAGAGGAAGAGGAGGAGCGGGATTGGCCCTAGCTGGACACTCAAAAGAGGCCCCTTGAGGTTGTCAGTGGACTGAGTGCCCTGGCACGCCTGGCCAAGCATGGGTGGTTGAACGTGTGTTCCTGGCAGCCAGCTGCAAGATGCACGCCCGACTCCCCGAGCCCCTGGCATTTTGTTCCTGGCACTTGTCTGGCTTGGGTCTGGTCCGGGATGCGAAATGCAAGGGACCTGGCTAGCCACAGGACACTGCACGCTACGGCCTACCTTAGGTACGGAGTACTGTGTGGGAGTATGCAGAGAGTAGCGCGGACGAAGGCTGGGTCACTCATTGGTGGGCAGCAGACACCGAAGCAGACACTTCCGACACCAAGGAAAGCCGTTGTGAAGTGAAGTGGTGTTGGCGTCTGTTAGGCCATGTTGCGGAAATGTGGTGATGTGTCGCGGCCGAGCACTAACAGCTTCACGCCCAGATCTGATGGCATTATGTCAGCTAAATCGGCGGTACGTACTCCGTACTATGCTTAACAGTGATGGAGGGCAAGGGTGTGCGAGTGAACTTTCTACAAGTAAATACTAAGGTAAGGTACGTATGGATGGAAGACTGGAAGACTGGAAGACTCCACATGTCAAAATTGCAAGTGGGGTCGTTTCTCGCTGCTTTCTCTTCTTTCATCCCGCGCCTAACTGAGGAGGTACTTACTGTACACTACTTTAAAGGTACCTTACGCCAGGCACGCTGCACGCCGGCATATTACCCTCGGCTTATCTGCCACTCCTATCCTTTTTTGCAGCCGCGGGTGATGAATTGCCGTCATTGCATCAAATGGTTGACAGACATGAGGCAGGGGATATGTCTTGTTCAATGCATTGAGTGTTCATGATTGGCATCAATGGTCGATGTTTCCGCACAATCTGATGCCAAAAAAGCAAGCGCCCTTAAACGCTTCATTCGCCCTCCTGATCACTTCCTTCCTACTTAGTAGGTACCTACTGCTTAAATTCCTCCTCTCTTTCCTTAGTCAGCTCGAGTAGCGAGAGATACGTACCTTTCTTTCACCGGACGGCAGGAACATGGGCGTGCCTGTGCCTGCCTGTGCCATCAACGGCAGGTGAAGCTGCAGATGCGCAGATGCGTAGATGCAGGTACTCGTGCGTACCATCCTGCCTTGCCTGCCTAGATTGTCTGCGCCTGCCTTGAGTGCTTGGATGGGACGGAAAGTGCCTTGCTGAGCTTGGGAGGAAGCAATTGCGGGAGTTCCTTCCATCTCAAACAACCTTGGAACCATTATTGCCATCCAGAATTTCAGATTCCTCACCCTTCGCTTCCATCCTCCTCCACACAACTCGACGAGGTACGCCCCCCCCCCCCTCCTTCGTCTCCAGTCTTCAACTCTCAATGTCTCGGTCTGGCAGTGAGGATTCATCATCAAAACAAACCATCAGTCTCATCGCCATGACGCCTTTGGCCTAGAGGGGCAAAGAAGAAACATGCCCGCACGCCAGAGAACGCACATGACACCGCCCCAAATTCCATCTTCCTGATCGTCGGCTCCTTCAATGTCAACAACCACAATAACCGCCATAGCCGCCTCGATTCCCTTCTTCTAGCATGCAAAGGAAGCTCATGCCTGTTCTCCAAAGTCCCGTCAACCTCAAAATACATCCTTGTCTCTGCCCAAAGCCGTTACAGCTCGACAATCTCGCATACCTACCCCATCAAATCGCATCATCTCAATCACCAAAAGTCTACCGCCGTGGCTTTCTACAGCACGAGCCTGCGCTTCCGTCGAACTGTAAGCTGCCAGCGAAACACCTCTCGCATCGCCCGCAAGCTGGGATCAGCAACGCAGCCAAGACCCCTTCCGAGCCGTTGCCGTCTTCACCTGCGCGCTTGTCACCAAAGTCTGTTCTTGCCGATGCCCATCCGTTCCTCTTCTAGCTCACGACAACAAACGGACGAAACGCATGGCCGCGAGAGCCAAATTTATCGTAAATATCGACAATAGAGCCGCCTGGATTCCTTACAAAGTCATCTGCCCACCGCTCAAAGGGTCTCGGCCCGCTCTCGTGCCCTCCATCGCCTGGCCCCGCATGCTTCCCGTCGTTTCGCCTCACCAAGTTCGTACATCACATTCGCAAGTCGTTGCCACAGCTTCTGTTTATCCACCACGTACTTCTTGGTCTTGCCGCTCCTTCTCTCTGTCTTGTTCTCAATCGGGCTGCGTTCGAAGCTGCCAGGCTGTCCAGAGAGTCTCCTGCTTGTTTCTCATCACCATCATCATCTCACCCAAACGCCGTGTTGGAGACTGGCAAGGGGTGGCTCTAGCAGAAACGGGAGTTGGCTGCGTCCCACACTTAATTGCATGGCTACGCCCTGCCGCTCCACCACTCTACCTGTGGGCGCCAGGCAGTACTCATGCTTCAAGGTCACGTCGGCTGTTGTTAGGCCACCTTCAAGCTATGTAACGTCCAGCTCCAGCAGTCAACATTGAACATTGACCAACAAGCACACGGTTCAGCAGTTCCAAGACCGATGCTCTACTGTGTACTCCGTAGCAACCTACAGATGCGCCGTGCTGGTCGAGGGTCTTTAACCTTAAAAAGAAGCAATAGGTCCGATCTGACCAAATGCTTCTTGCCAGTTAACGAGCGCACATGCTTGGAGCTGTCTGCATTGATACTTCCGCGTTGATCACTAGAAACTACGGGCAAGCCGGGCAAGCGTCAGATCAGTATCAGTCAGGCCTTTGGGAAAATAGACTGACAAATGACAGAGTTCTCAACCATCTACGAGGGGCGTGTCAACCAAATTATCGAGAGACCAGGGGCGCACTAACAGGCCACATATCTTCCAAATGTCTCACCACCCAATCAAGTTATAGCGCCAACCGTTGCAAGCTCTTGTCGACTGCTCATAATGTCCGGCTCTAGAGCCAGTCAATGCAGTCTTACCAAGAGCATGTGGAAAGCCACTGCCTGGGCTCACCAAACCCGAGCAGTACCTAGCTACGCAGCTTCAAGAACGGCAATCGTAGTGTACGTCCGGCAAGGCTTTGCCCTACTCCCGATGACAACTTGACTTTCGGTTCAAACGTATTGACTCCAAACTCACAACTAGGTACAATGTGGTTGCACAGCGCCTAAGAAACATGCCCAAGGACTTGATCTTATGCGCAACCTTTTCTTCTGTTGGACCCCTTTTCTGGTGTCTCAACTCTCAATTAAATAATGGGGCGGGTGCGGCCCTCAAAATCTCGTCAACCACCTTTCGTGGTCTATTGGTTCAGCCTCAAATCGTCCCAGGGCCGCTCTGGTGTCATTTCACCAAACACAATGAAACCAGTACCAGGAACCACAGCAGAAGTTCAGCTAGATCCTCTGCTGCCCTCATCCTGCAGTTTGTTTCAAGAGCTTTACATTCATGCCTGGTGTCTGGCCAAGATTGGTGTTTGCTGATCGGCGCAAGATTCAATGAGGTGCAGGAACTGCAGTGGTATCGCCAATGTCGTCAGTCCGCATCTCGCGTGCTCCGTTTGTAGCTGCTATGCCCTCGGCGCCGCCACGCAAGATCCGTCAAAGATCCGGTCAGCTGGTGTTCCCTCGACCAACCCCTATTTTTGACTTTTTACTTTCACAGTCTCCCAGCCGCACGACCTCGATGTCTGTTCACCTTGGCACTACCGAGCGATTTGATGTCAGCAGATAATAAGATACGAGCAGTAACACAAACATCGGCTTATGCTTCGCTGAGACTCACGTGCAGCAACTATTTGTCGTCGTCTTCGAGACTGGCGATGGCCATGACAATCACTTATGGCCATTGTTGCACCCTGGTCTCCTCGAACGACAGCCTAGGCCAAGTGGCCGAGACGCTTTACCAGGGCAGCTTTGGCCCGCGCCCACTTTGCACATCACCCGTGCCGCCATGCAACCCCCGCGTTTCCGTCAGATTCGCGTTTCGGCTGTAATCCAATGGAGCGCTTCTTGCATTCCGTTCCTCTCTTCAGCTCTGGAGACGTCCTGGGCAAACCTTCAGCTCGGCTACAATTTGAACGCGTTGCCTATCACCAGGCTTCCCCGTCCTCGCTGGCTTTGAACCGTTTGGTTTCGAATCGAGCTCTGTTTCAACCTGCTCATTTCTCAGAGCTGAAAGAAGGATGATTCGACACATTAGCAAGACCACTATATCCCCGTGTATCTGGTCTTTTGTGCAATGGAAGGGAGATGGCAATGTGTGCTTGACCCGGTTTTCTTCCGGCCTGAACCACGGCCGTTAGCCCGGCTTATTGAGCCCGTCACGGCACCGGAATTGAGTAGCTTTGCGGAAAAAACGGTAGTCGATTGCAAGAGAGGCTGCAGCCTGTAACTGCTTTGCGAATACTTCTTGTACGGATTTATTGGGGAAAAAGGCATTCTGAGCTGCGCATGCTTCCTTTCGCCAAGGCAAGACGATCTTTACATATCATCAGGAGAGGCTGCTAGTCATCTCGATTCATTGGCATTCAGTGCCAGCCAACAAAGACACATCGAAACCTCTTGATCCTACTGTACGGGCATTTTTACCCACGGATACGTTAGCACTGCGTACTCCGTGCAGTACTCCGTAATAGTGTCTGACTTGGAAACACAACGACTTCACGATTCATGCAAAGCACACAAGTTCGTTCACGGGGGTGTGTGTCTCGCTTCTTGCTGTTAGACTGACAGCGATCCCTTGGCCTTCAGCCGTCAAGTTTTCGACCTCCCCGCTAGCCAAGCAAACGGACGCCGTCAGAGGCAGACAGCGTCAATCTTTTCCCCCCCACCCCCTTTCGAAATTTTGAAGAGGGGCTTTCGACACTTTCTCTCTCGGTCCATCCCTGCATACCTGCCGCCAGCTTCCGCGGCCAATCAGCAAGCTGTTCCTGGCACTTTAACCTTCGCAGCGGCGATCGTAGCTCCTTGCCTCTACTGGTTTGGTCACATTTCGCCATCTAGACAGTGAGCTCAGCTGGCTTCATCGGCTGTCAACTTGTTTTTGCAAAGCTTGAAGAAAAGTGCCACTTGTTCTTCGTGCCACTGTGGATGAAGCGCGGCATGAACATGGAGCCTGCGGGCAGGTCTTGCGGAAACGCTGAAAGCTTCAGTCACCCTCAGACTGAACCGGCGCCGGCTTCATAAAGCATGATAATTCTGATGCAGAAAAAGAAACTATCTTGCACTGCAAGACGCACAGTGTCGAGGACTTCTGCACTCCTATGCCATAGCGGGTACTTGCATCTGTACGAAGTACCAGATGTTGGCATCAGATCTCAATCATGGCAGATCCCGGCCAAGGCCATGGCTTCATGCTCGTGTGAAAGTTGGATCGTCGGGGCTGCCGTTGCTGTTGACGAGTCGATAGCTGCTAATTCGTACAGTGACAGTTCAGCCCAACAGCCAATGATACTTTCCGACATGAAGATGGGCAGACTCAGACTCTGTAAAGGTGCAATTTCTCAAGCGAGTCCACCCTGAATCCCAGCCGAATGGTAGTCGGCTGTTCGGTCGGGAAAGCTACTGAACCAGCGGGTGGGATCGCAGCCCTAGATTACCAACGGGTCCAACTCGTTGAGGTTGAAGAAACAAATACACACTTTCTTGGCAGCATTCAGCGAGATTGATCCTTCAGCAACGATTGATCAGAGGCGCCGCTTCTGCGGCAGCGCCTTGCACAAGTCGCTTCGCCTGCGGCGGTGCAGCATGCTTGGTCGAGCCCTGCTGGACCAACACACGTCAGCCAAGTTGAGATGACCTGGGCCATCGAGATTGATCACGAATCGATTTTAATCAATGTTTGATGGACATGTGGGTGCGAGATTTCTGCTGACGGAGCACTGAAAGCCTCGACGGTCAAGGGAAAATTCCCGCTACAAGAAACACAGATTCAGTTTCTCCGCCTGCTCCCAGGACTTTCCCGGTCCTGCAGCACGGCATGAACGCTGGCGGCCTGGGTTCGAAATGGCCCGGTGCAGCCGCAGATTGAGGTTGTCGCATCTTGATTGACTGGAGAAAGAATGGAATCATTAGAGATGTGCCGTGCGCCAGTTCGTCTGATAATGACGCTCCTACCAGCCGGGCCGTTCCCAGTCTTTAAGATTTACAATTGGTTTTTGACGGTCCAAAGCTTTTTTCTTACGGAGTACTTGTGTTTTTCTCTCTTTCTGGTCAGCGCTAGAACGTGTCTCCAGGTCCACTCGACGGCATGCTGTTGGCAAGGCTGACCCGGAGCTGATCGCTGGGGAAGACGAGGGATATTCAAGAGATTGACGACCGTACGGAGCACTTACGGACGTGCAACGGGGGCCAACGTGGCATCGACTGATGACGGCACAGAAAATCCCGAGAGATGCGGTTGTAAACGATGATCCACGATAATGTTGAAAGGACACGGCTCACGCGGCGGCGTGATCGGACCGGAAGTTCAAGAATTTGACGGCCTCCATCCCGGCACAACCCAGGACGAACGGACATTTTATCACTCATCCATGATCCAACACATGGCCTTCCGATCATCACCGCGTGGACACAGAGGAGGCCAGCCAGACTGGCGAATACGTCGACAAATGGAACCTATCGAAGTTGAAGGTCCATACTATTCCAGCTACTTCTTCACAAAGGTCCAAAGCCCAGTATGCGTTCAGCGATGCTGATAGTTGACCGTGGTCGTGGAGGAAAGCTACGTCAGTCGATATGTGTAAAACGGTCTAAGATGAAAGACTCCCCACAGTCTGGACCAGTCGTGTGGCCGGAGACTTGTGCAGTCCCCAGGGCGAGAGTCACGATTCGTGTTACCACGAGGGGCAAGTCGTTTGGGTCCTGTGATGGCTCAGTGATGGATTGCCTCTGGCTCTGCAGCCGCAGCGTTTCCAACATTACACATCCATACGGAGTACGCCCACGTCCATTTACCCCCCTTGCCGGCGCTAAGAAGCCGACGTTATTTCGCTTCCGCACTACGCTGGGCCGCCCCAATCTCCGCGATTTGCACCTCTCCCTCCAGTTTGGCCGTCACCCTGGGCTCCCCATCGAACGGGTCATCGAAAGCCGATGTCAGGGCTGAACCAAAGGGCTGCCCGCACAAAAAGCATGGGAATGATGGAGTCAAGGTTGCAAGAGAATTTTTTCTTACGAGAGTCTGGACCCTCCATTACTGGGAAGCAGCTGGGAAGATTGGTTTCTACCATGGCAGAAGCCATGGAATGATTCCCCCTCCGTCACTCCGATGGCCGCAAGACTCCCACTCTCCACGTGCCGCCGATTGAGTCGCCAGTTCAGTCTCCCCGTGCTGCTTGTTATGCACCCCTGCTTGAGGAATGCAACCCGAGACGGCGGGTTTGGTCTGGAATTTGATCTCCCTGGTCGCGGGGGACGTGCTACAGGTTACTACCGGCCGAAACTGGTTGCATTACTGCGGCCCTGTCTTGGATCGCCATACTTGTTCTCTGCGCTGCCTGTAACACCGTTTCTGAGTCCGGCTTGACAGTCTTGCTCGACGGGAGTGCGCCTGGGATAGTATGGCTTACAACTTCCAGCATTGTGCTGCATGAGCGAGTGCATTGCAGGCAAGTTCATTTGACTCCCGCCTGCAAGGTTCCCGACTTTTCTCGCGCAAAATATCGCTCAACAGCAGGCCCGGACATGACGGCCACAAAGTTTGATGCCACTTGTTAGGCTCATGTTATTTTTTGTTTACAAATTTCCCCGAATGTGTCAACTCAACGCGGTTCAAGGCGCGGTCCGCGTCGTCGGCGGTGGAATTGGCGTTTGGCGGGGTAAGCCTCCGTCCGCTGGAGCCGCTAGTACGAATGCCATTCATTACCAGCACACAGAGTCTCCGTAGGTATTACAACTCACACAGGCCGACCCTGTCGAACGGCGGAACATGAGAGAGATTGGGAATTTGGGAGGGGGCGTGCGTTGCGTGCCATGCCTCTTGAGGTGACGTTGAGAAGTTGAGACCAAGTTAAGAGATGGTGTGAGCGGCCGTAGTGACGGCTGATAAGCCCTTCTTGGGGATAGTTCATCCGTGGAGGCGATCGAGTCCAAGGGAACGTAGTTAGCCGCAGGCGATGGCAAACACTCACCGGCTGGCCGGTGTACTACGTCTAAATCTAGAGTTTAGTAGTTCACTGAACATCCGATGGGTGTGGTATGATCTGTTGGGACTCTCGTGGAGGGGAAATGCCAATGATTGGAAGCGACGATGGGGTCGCGCGTCGGCGACGCGGTGGTGTGAGGTGACATTGGATGGGCGGACGAGGGCACACGCCAGGTGGGACATCCAGGGTTCGATCGATGGCGAAGTGGCATTGTGCTATCTTGTCTCGACGTCCGGTGTAACGCTCGTGGTGCCAGGTGCGGAGGCGAGACATACTTCCGCCCGGCCCGGTGATAGATGTGTGGCCAGCGCCGGCTGGGGGTCCGGCCCCGGAGCCGGGGAAGTGAGACGTCGGGCCGCCGTAACATGGACCCAAGATGCATTCCGATCTCTAATGACCGACTTAGATTAACAGCAGGGATCTAATTATCTGTTTACACGGTCTGCGCGTTGAGTACGCTGCAATAGTTGCTTTGGCTATGTGTAATTTTGCGTGGATTTGAACATGTCATATATTTGTAAGATATAAAATCGACATTCAGTACATCTCGAGAGTGCTTCAACACTTCCATGTGATCTTGACACTGTCACTCAACCCGATCCAAAACATCCTCCGTCCACCGCCAAAGTCGTCCAGCTAACTCCCCATCCGTCGCCACCTTGTCCAGCTTATCGTCCGCCAAGTGTCCGACAGGCATATAAAACCCTCCATTCACGAGATCCGTCTTCTTGGCCGCGGCGGCGGCCCAGACCTGGTTCCAGCAGCCTTGCTCCGGCGTCAGGACGGAGGACCCCATGATCTTCTGTGGGAGGTAGACCAAGAGGCGGTTGAGGCGGCCTTGGTTTGTGACTAGGCCTGTGTCGACGACGCCTGGGTGGACTGCGAGGGTTGTTATGGAGGGATGGCGAAGGGCGAGTTCGCGGGTGAAGAGGATGTTTGCGAGTTTGCTTTGACTGGGGGAGGGGGATTGTTAGTTTAGCAGATTTCTTGGGTGTGGTTGTGAAACCTGTGATGACTTTGAGGACGAGGGGGAGAAGGGGATCAAGGGGATCGAGAGTAGGTAAGTGATGAAGGGGACTGAGCAACGTACCCGTATCGAATCCACTGTCCCAGAACCGGCGGTCCAGCTTGCGTCGTACCCAGAGTCTCAAAGGAGATGCCGTCGCTCGGGTGGGCTTGGTACCCGACAGACGTGAGGTTGATGATGCGTACGTCGGCCGGGGCATCGCCGCCGTTAGACGATGGCGAAGATCCAGTCCCCTGGGCAGTACGAAGTAGGACCGGAAGCAGCTCTCGAACAATCATGGCGTGGCCTAGGTAATTCGTAGCGAACTGGATCTCATAGCCGTCGGCTGAGAGGCCGGCGGCGCCGGCCATGATGCCTGCGTTGTTGATTAAGATGTCGAGGCGAGTGTGGGTGAAGTGTTTCTTGATAGCGGCGCGGATTGAGGGGAGGGAGGTTTGGTCTAGGGGGACGAAGGTCAGAGGTGGAGGGTTTGGTGAAGAGGAGGAGGGTGCGGCAGCTTCGATGAGGGCTTTGGCGGAGGAGTGGGAGCGGCCTGAGAAGTAGATGTGGGATGGGTTGTGGGCTAGGAGGGCGAGGATTGTGGATTTGCCTAGGCCTGCTGTTCCTGTGTGGTTGTTAGTTATGCTGGTGTTGGTGTGTGTAGGTTTGTCATCTTATGGTGATATAGAGTAGATGGTAAGTAGATATTGGGCGATGAATCTGATCTTGAAGGACATGGGGGTTCTTTCTCGATGGTTTCAACACCATCTTTGGCTGATCTTCATTCACCACTGACGTGAAAGGGGCCAGTTTGTGGGCATATCGCGACTCGAATACTTTTGGAAGAATGACTCCACGAAGCAGATATCTTGTCAAGCACAGTGAAAAGGGAAACGGGTGGAGGGATACGTCGCGGCTGACCCGAGCTAGAATGATGGTGATGAGTGGAAATGATGTCTGCGCGAAAGTCTAGGAAGCTCCTCCCGATATGATGCTGACCAACAGCATGACAGGAGATGAGCCAGGGCATCACCCTCTTTGCCATCCTTCCCCTGATCTCGAGTCTTACGCAGAGTTTGTAGACACAGGGAAGAAGAAGAAGACAGACAGAAGTCATAGGAAACAAAGCCTTGCTCTTTTCGAAAGCTACATGTTGAACTCTGAAGGAGGAGTTGGAAACAAGAAACTGATGTACTTACCGCCAGTCACGAAGATGACCTTTCCTTCGAGGGAAGGGATATCCGGAGTTGGATCATGCAAATCCTTTCCATAGACGAAGAGGGCGACCATTTTGTTCGAGGGTACCAAGTGCGTCAGATGGTTCCTTGGACGCTTTGGCTGGATACCCGGGCTCTGGAAGTCGCAAAGATGTTGGAAAGGACCTGTTCGTCGTGTGCTGCCAGTTGGGAATTGGGTCTTAACCCAGGTAAAGCGTGTTTGTAACAGACCACGTAGTCGTTCCAAAGTTTAGCGAGGCTCTTGACCTCGAGAGATCGGTTGTTACAGTCTTTGCGGCAACTCAGATGGATCTTGGTGATTCGCGATGTTGAGGATGTGGGTGAGAACTTGGATCCGTGACTCGACCACGATCGATTGGGTGAACTTGGAGATTATGGAAAAACAAGAGGATATTCATTCGTTTTATATTTAGTATGCAAGGAAGCCCATACATTTCTAAGCCTCGCTTGATGTGCGCAGCAAACTGCACTGGCGTTCTCTTGGTTCCTACACATGTCTAGGCTACATTTAGTCGACGACCGTTTCATCCACCATGTTGCGCTGTCGGCGGTATGTATTTGCCCGTTGAAACCTGGTCTCCTAGTTTATTAAGATCCTTCATCTTCCTATCCCTCCTGCTGTAACTGGTCAGACCAGGGAGACACAGTCGATAACAAGGCAGGTTCCTGGGTAATGCTGGACGGATGAGGTTATCGTGAGTGTAAGCCGTCTGCATAGTGGCTGATCCAAAGCTAGGCTCATTCGGGCATGCGGGTCTGTAAGCAAGTCTTGAGCAAACTATTCGTCGAGCGGGATGGTCCGTCTAAGCGGTAAGACGGGACTGAGCGATGAAGCTCGAGGAATGTGATGACGAGATGAAGCAGAGTGGATGATGTTGCCGCTATCCCAGTTTGAGCGGTGGGGATGTAAGCCAGTGGCATTTGGGAGAATCGCTGCTTTGGGGATGGCGGGCGTATGCTGTCAGCCTTTCAGCATCATGCTTCTTTCACGCATTGAGGCTTCGAGCTCGTCGGCTAGCAAGCCGGCCCTTGCTTGGCGGCGCGCACTCATCAGGCAATGAGTTGAAGCTTGCCATAGCTAGGGCACAATACCTAGGTAGGTCCAGCGACAAGAGTGACTCACTCCGATCACGTTACACGACACAAACTTCATGGGGGGACAGGTTGAGCAAAGATGGCAAACCGACTAGCACGCTTGCGCAACCAATGACAATAGATAGCAGGCAAAGAAAGTCGAGCATAGGCATCAGCGACAAAGTTAGACGTGAACCTTGCTGTGCTGCTTCCGCGCCGTCTGATGGTCGGAGTACGGACGCCACGCGGAGGAAAACGGGTCTGATCCGAGAGACTCGCTTTCGGGGTCCGAAAAGAGATGGAAGGATGGGAAGGGTCCTTGTAGACACATGAACGGCGTCAAAGATTGCGCCGAGGCCGGGGGACCCTCCACATCACATGGCGCCGGGACTCTCTGATGGATCACGAAACGGAGGGACACGGGGTGGAACGGGCTGGAATGGCACGGGAATAAGAATTGCCGCGGGGACTTTGTCGTTTGTGTTTTCTTCTACCTGATGACTGATGCCCCCTGGCTGCCTGCTTCCCCAAGTCTCCAGTCCATGCGAATCATGCGAGTTGTACTGAGAGATGACCATTCCAATCAGAGAGGAAGTCAAAATCAGCTGGGGAGCGTGCCGTGGCCCGTCCAGTTCCGTTTTATGGGCGTTTTATGGGGTAGGTACTAACGGGTTGATTGTATGTATGGAGTGGTAGTTTGTTGCCGATTGGAGTAAGAGGAACGAGGAAAATGAAGGGACTTTGAACTGGCACACTGAACATGCTCTCGGCGGGGAGATGGATTATAACGCAGGGAAACCCAGTCCCTCGGGTCCGCGCAATGTGAATTTCCCCTGTTTCACTTTGAGCAAACGGTTCTTTGGACGGAATGCACAGTCGGCCCATCCATCCACTGCAACAGCCAGCGGAGAGATGACGGATGTTTACGCGGAAAGTTGTCTATGGGGCTTGGAGTTTGATGATGGCGATGACTCTGAGAATGAAGCAGGCTGCCCATTATCTTCCAGGAGGTTCGAATGATAATTACAAACGGCGTAGGTGAGAATGCTCCGGTTGTGGAATCCCGCTGATATGCATGTTCCTGATTCAATTCATTCAATTGGTTGAGATCAGCAGTGTCTGTCTTTGCCGGGGAACATTCAAGCCATGCAACCGTGGGACGAACTGCGCAATATTGGTCTGGGGTGACTGTGCATATTTTTGACATTTGACATTTGATATTTGTTTGCTCATTGCTAAGCATTGTATGGATGGATACATGATCTAATGACACAAGGCCAAGCTCTAAGTGACAAACAGTTATCTTGTGACTGGTCACTTTTCGGCTGCAACCAGCACTTGGGTGCGGCCGGTGACCGGTCTTTCTCCTCCACCTCCAGCTTTCCAGCTTCCAAATACGACCAATGCGGACGAGTAGTCTACATGTAGCTTTACTGATTCCGGACCCAGTTCCGAGAGAGAAAAATGAAGGCAGCACTGCATTGCGAGTACGGATCTCTGTTTCCTCTGTTGTCTTTCCACGGAACCCGCGGTGTGAAAAGGAATCAGGCCAGATCCGAATGGTGCAATATGGTTGGAACTACATTGCACGAAAACACACTGAAGAGATGCCATAATCTGAAGCAAAGCCTCGATGAGTGTGAATGCCAACCATGTCGGAAACTCTGCAGTTTAGGTTGCGTCAAGTGGTTGGTGTTGTCTTGGTGGTGACGGATGGCAGTACACGCTGCACCAGACAATAGCTCAAACCACAAACCAAGACCAAGCACCTCTTGGGTTTCCTCCTTTGGTTTCCTCTGCTTCTTGGCCTGCTCGGGGGCTGTTCCTTGACCTCTTTGGGGCGCGAACGCAACGGTGGTGCAGTGCAGCCAGGCCCGCTCCCTTCGCTCCGTTCAGGGTCTTGTGGTGTAGGCCCTCCCTGGTCCCCTCATCATGCTCCCCCACGTCGGGCCGGTAATCAAAATCGAACTTGGTCTGGAACTCCTGTCAGCCGATGTTTCCATGCAAGGCCAGAGTCTCTTTTTTTTTTTTTTTTTTGGCTGTGTTGCCTGCGCGGTCGGATATTCTCCGCTTGGGAACATTCTTTGCGAGACCGAAAAAGAGTTGCAGCGATTCCGTGATGTATTGGAATGAGTAAAAGAAAAGCAAAAAGAGAAAGAAATCAAAGGTTGTGTAGTGTTATATTTGTGACTGTTGCAATTGGACTAACCTTTGCATGCCAATGTGGATTTTCGATCGAACTTCCACACACCGTTTTATACCCCGGCCCAAATGCTCTCCAATCGGTAGCCCCTTGGAAATGAAATCGCGGATAATCAGTCCTGGATTGCGTTGGCGCCGTCTCATCTTAGGTGGTTTGTACTCTTTTTCTCCGTGGGATCCCACTGGGGCCGATTGCCGAATTCGAATGCAACCCTTGATCAGGAACCCAGAGATTGACAACGGGCCTGGTAACGGGGCTCCGTTCGATCATCGATCAAGGTGCCAAGTGTGAGAAGATGGAAAAAAATCAGTAGTAGGATGATGGGCCGGCGAGCCTGGCATTCGAAGGGGGGAGAAGGAGGAGGGTTGCAGCTGGAGTGGTGACGAAGCGGATGGCCGCGTAACGCGTCCCTTTATCCGCGTCACCTCACCTCATCTCGATTGTATAGCTCTCTTTCTCAGAAGTCTTCTCTCTCTCGTTCCCATGTTTCCCGAATTCCCGTCCCGCTGCCCTTGCGGCGTACCCTTTTCGGGGGTTGCTCATTCCCACCTGCGACGACCTGACCGTGAGCGTTGCCGGCCGGCCCACCCGGGCGGGGTATAGAGAAGCAGGGCGGTGCGGTGCGGGCGGGCGGAGCGAACAGCTTGGACGGGCTTGGTTCATCTGCGGCTCATCTGTGGCCATCGACGAACGAACCGAAAGCATCCGCCCCTTGCTTGCTTGTGTGGTGGGTAGTGGATGCGCGGATATACGGGATAAGGGTGTTGAGAGCCAGTAAGCCAAGCAGAAACGTGAGAAGCACGATGATTTTTTTTTTCTTTTCTTTTTTTCTTTTTGCGTGATTGAGTGATTGATCGCTCGATGGAGATAAGGTGAGATGAGTGGAGGAGCCAGTGTATGGGTGAGATGGATGATTGCCCTGGAAAGTTGGATGGGATGGGGTGGTCTAGGATGGCCTAGACTTGCAGATCTCTGAGGAGAGTGGCAAGGGGGGGAGGGGTGGTGACTGGTCGAGGTAGGGTGGAGGATGGATCGCTGAAGGATTCGTCCCGGGGCGGTCGGGCGGGAATTGGAGGATGGAAGGGAGGGTAGAGGTAGGGTAGGGGGTTGTTGCAGCAGACAAGGAGTCTGGATTCTAAGAAGACAGTCCTGCTCTTTGATGTCTAGAGCCTGGAGGGAGGGGGATATGTGAATATTGAGAAGAGATGGAGGAAGATAGAGAGAACCAGAAGGAGAGAGAACACGCGGGATGATCCCTCTCGAATCGGTTCAGAAAGCTGTCAAATCCCGGCCGGCGGCAGGACGCAGGACCCCAGATGTGTGAAGTCGGGAAACGGATCGGGGGGTCATAGAGACAGAGCTTGAGTCGAGAATGAGCCCATAAGTTCCGTCCCATAAACCCGCGGTCCACACAAAAAGAAGAGTCCAGTCAAGTCCAGTCCAGTCCAGCCGGGAGCCCGGGCCTCAAAAAATCAAGGCACAACGAGGCAATGGGAAAGCTCAGTACTCAAATGAGGTAGAAGGGGAGAAAGAAAGTAAACGAGTTCCCGGTTTCCAAGTTTCTCTCAGTGCCAGGAAAATTGGATCTCGTGGCCCCTGACTCGGATGTCTGCTGCCTGGAGCAGGGCGAGAGCGTCGGCGGCGGTGGTCTTGTGGAAGTAGACGACAAACACGTAGCCCTCGCCCGTCTCGCTGGCGGCCATTGTGCTCGAGAGGCGTGTCGTGGCCGTGTTGACGTGGTTTGAGAAGAGGTGCTTTTCTTGCGGCGTCATGGACGGCGGGAACCCAGATGCGCGGATGCCCATGAAATTTGACGACGCTCGGGGTCGGAGGGGTCCACTCGGGGAACCCATGGTGGCGATCGCTGGAGAAGCCGTGGTGAAGGTTTTGGGGGGTTATTTGGGGGAGACCGGTTGTGCTGTTGATCGACGATGCTATTGTCGTCGAATCGGGTGTTGTCCAGTTGCTGTTACTGTAGTTGTTCTTCTTCGAGCTGTTGGTGAGAGAGAAGATGTGGTCGTGACTGTTGCTGATGTTGTCGTCGTTTACTTTCGAGGAGGTTCGTCGACACCGGGTTACTAATAATAAAAGAAGATTGTTCCCGTTTCTGCTGGCCGAGGTGTGTAATCAAGCTTCCAAAGAATCCTTTCCTGGTCTGCTCTGGCTAGCAGGCAAGGTCCCTTTAAAATCTATGGCGTCGACACGGGAGACGGAAAGACGAAAGTTTCTTTGTCTGGAAGTGTAAATACCGAAGGAACCGTCTAGAGGATGTGGAGGGGTTTCTGGATTTGGTTGTAGCTGTGGTGGTTGTGGTGGTAGCGGTGGTGACGAAACTGCAGAAAGGAGAGTCAAGATTGGATGGGATAAGGAGAGGAAGCAACGCAGTCAACAGGAATGTTCCAGACAAGCAGATGCACAGCAAAGGGTTATCGAGGGCAGAAAAGAGAGCAAAAATAAAAAAGCATCGGTTGTGGAGGGGGAGTTGAAAGGGTCTTTATCATCTCACGCCTCACGGCATCCACGGGAAGGGGGAAGGGGTCTGGAAGGGGGCAGCGAACAAATAACATGGCCTTGCCATGGTCGCCTGGTACTGCAGTTACACAGCAGCAGCATCCCATCCCATCGCCCATTGCCCATCGAGACCCTCGTCGCCCTTCCTCATCACACATGTGTACTAGGTAAAAGGTACTGCGGATATCTACAAGGACACAGGTACCTCGAGCTGCAAGGTTATGTGGTAATGTACATATTACTCCATGGCTTTCTACAACTCTGCCTTGTCCGTCTCCCACGGCTCCCCATGGCCTGGGAAGAGAGATTTGGGGAGGGGCGCATGGCTGGACCGAGGGCTGTGGATATCTCACGTCCCTTGACTGTGGGCTCGCCCAAACTATGGCACCGCTTTTACTCGCCTTTACTCTGCTGCCAGCTGCCTCTCTCGCTCTCTCTCTCTCTGTCTCTCTCTGCTACAGCAGCTCTGCCTTTGGCCAGTGTGTGTCCAGTCCTTTCGCTTGCCGGGGCTGTGGAGTAAGAATGGGCAAGGAACAAAGAGACCCAGCGCCATAAGAAGTACGGATACATGGAGAGGGGCGCGCACCAGTGTATGTACAAGAGACTGACCAATGCGCCAGAACGGCTCCAGGGCGGTTCCAGGTTCCAGAATCTGTGTGTCGTTCCCCTTCTCTCGGCCCCTCCCCCCCAGTCTCTGCGCAATGCCTAGACCTGGGTGGTGCTCCAGCCAGCACCCAGGCACAGGTAGATGCCACGGAATTCCAGAACTTGCGCCGAGAGGTTGCGCAAAATGACTAAGGCTACCTTAATTGAGGAGGACCCGCGGGGGACCTGTTCGCTGAAGTCCGTTGCGTCCGCTGTCTGGAAGGACGAGTGCCGTCGCGGCATCATCCAGGGGCACTGGGGTTTGGGCCAGGCTCTCCTTCCTTTGCTCTCCAAAGTGTTTGAGAGCTTTCTTTCTCTGGTTTTGGCTCTGACCTTCTGATCCATTGAGACCCCTTCTGTTCTACTGTGGTGTATCCGTAAACTATGCTTCTCTTCCTCCCAGCGTGGAGCGCATTTTTGCTTTGCCCATCCATTTCCCGTCAGCCAGGGCTGTCCAGGGCCTCAAGGATGCCGCCACTATTAATAGGATTCTAGAACAAATTGACAGTGTTTCAGAAACACGAGCCACTCTATTCTCGTACGAATTCACTTCACCACCAGCAATCAAATCTTTTGATGACCTCTCTTTTGGTGCGAGTGTACGGATACATTGGCGGTGATTATATGGTTCAATGTTGAACATTATGTTTGAAAGATTTCCACAATTTGGTATATACATTTGGATATTGGGTATTTTGGCTCAAGTTTGAGGGGCTCGTTTAGCCAGTTAGCCGAACTTTTGCGGCCCCTCCAAGGCTGCATTTCCCGTCATTTTGAGTTGGCCCTGGAGCATGCTGTCTGGAACCTTGGGCAGAAACGGCCCCCAAGTTGCCTCTAATTCGGCTCCCTTTGTCTTCCATTCAGCCCTTTTGGCACTGTTGGCCGCGGAATGCGTTTGAAGGTAATTCGCCTTGGCCATGAATGTGTTCCAATTGTCTTGCGGCTTCGGGAAGTCGGAACCGCCGTTGACCAAGGAACGCAACATCTCGGTACTGATGATGTAGTCTTTCGAAGCCAGCCTCGTTCACATGTCCAAAGTAAGGCATCTACACATGAGATTATGAGGGAGAAATGGCACCGGAAGAAAAAAATCTTGCAGACTGTCATTTCAACTCAGCGTCTCCGATTGGACGCACTTGATCGAAATGCCTCGTCGCTAATACGAGATGTCCCGGCGATCATTACCCTTCACTCTACTAACCGGTGACTTATTACTGCAGCAGTGCAAACTGGCAGCAAGCCATAATCAAAGAGGCCACTCGCGCGCCGTTCCAACCCCTCGTATAAGCACATTCTCGAGTGGATCTGCGCGACTCCATTCGCAGAAAAACCGCCTATTCCTGAAAGAAGGCCATTCCCGTTCTCAAATGCTCATGTACATTACCTGCGTTGATGCCCATATGCGAAGCTGCACTCTAATTTTGATGCTCCTTCGCGGCTGCGCTCTGCTTCCCACAAGGGCCGACCTGTAATATCAGCATCCCACTTTCAGCCAGGCTCATTATTTATTTCCGTTCTGTTTCGGCATCCCTCCCTTCTATCTGGGACCGATATCTGACGAGACCAAGAGAGGCTGAACCCGCCGACGCCGTTGAAGCTATAAGATCAAGGGTACCGTACATATAGCTACGCGGGCCACGGGTTGGGCACAGCGCAGATCAGTGCAGTCCATCCATCTCCATTTCTCCATTTCTCCAGTGAGCGATTTTTACCAAGCGGCGGCCATGGCAGCGTTTTGGCGAGGCGGCAAACCAATCTACGGACAGGAGCAGAGTGTGGGCATGCTCCGGCCCGAAGTGGGAAATCGTTGCCCGAATGGAAAGGTCTCCCGAACTTCAGATCAACGGCTTCTGGCCTGATCACACGTGTCGTCTTGCTCATCACTTGTCTCGAAACTGGAGAGCCGTTATTTGCAAGGCGGCACCGGGGAAGCTATCTCACGGCTATCAACGTTAGTGCGGCTGCCTTCTTTGTCACTCTATTCCCGGAAGACCCCCTTTGTGCAGTCACGCAGTGTGGTACAACAACTTGACTTTTGACAGTTCCACCGCAGGATGGGGGGGGAATTGGAATTGAGAACGGTCCAGGCCTTCGCCGAAAATGCGATGCCGACAATGCAAACATGGGACAAACCGACTCGTGCAAGTCGCATCACCATCTACACCACAGCCTGGAGCTGGGCTGCTGCTGCTACTGCGCGCGCAAGAAAGCAAATGGAGCGCGCATAATCCGCAGCGGCTGAACGGGGGGCCTGGGTTCAATCACGATCAATGTAACCTTGTAAGCGAGCTAGACGCCGCCGCCGAGGGGACTGGGCTCTTGGTGTCGCAATGTCGACATCGTGCATCGTGCATCACGCGCATCCCGTTGGTGTACCGTGTGGCCCTTGAGCCTGGTCGCTTGAATCGCAGTTTCGAACAGGTGGCACGAAGGAGGAAGAGAGAGATAGAGGCACAGATCAGGAGGTGAGCTTGACAGAGAGAAGAGAGAGTAGCGAGGGGTCCCACGGTCCACGATAGCTCAGAATAGGAGATTTTCGGTTTCAAGTTGAGGATAGGTGGTGGCACGACGGCGGCGGCCGGGGGTAGCTGGTCCTGGGATCCTTTGACGATTTCCTCGCCTCTTTTCTCGCCTCGCCGACCCGGACCCAGCTCCGGACCCTTCCCCGTGCGTACCTAGGTAGCTGGTATAACTGCTCGTGTATCTGAACTTTGGGTACTTGATGGAATGGAGGAGGAGGCCTGCTCGAGTTCCATATGGGTGACAAACGGATTCTCACGATGGAACCTGGCCACTGCAAGCTAAGCAAGCGAGCCGAAGCTTATTGCACTCCAACCTCGCCCGTCAAATTAAGTGTATTTCCCACAATCGTTGCGTGATGTGATGTGCACAACTGCCGGAGCTCTTTTCCGTCACCATTGTTATGGATCAGGATAACTTGGATGGAGCCCCAGCTGGCCCGCCCCTCAGGTTCAGGTGTCTGTGCTGGATCGAGACAGACTGGACGCGTAACGGTAACGCACATGGCAGTGTGAGAAAGGAAAAAGTTCCTACAAAATCCTTGGGATGGGATTCTTGTGAATGCTACCCTACTTGCAAAGTAAGGCACCTTAGCAGAGTGCCTGAGCTCAAGTCACTATGTACGCGACAGCTATTTTGGCATGTGTTTGCCAGACGGGAAGATGAACTTGTCCGTGTCAATGTGACACCTTTCAGGGTCCTCTTTGTCTTGAAACCCGCGGTTTTGATTTCCCATTGACGAGTCCACTCGGGCTTACGTGCCCTCGCTCTCGCTCATGCTGAACCAACATGCTGTCCAAGCAGTGCAGCGCAACGCGAACAAGAACCGTCCCACCCCCACGTGAACCCGACGAGACGTTCCTTTGCACGTTCCTGCGCATCTTCAAAGGATGTTTTCTCGTTTTCTCTCTGCTGTTGCGCAGCCGTACACATTGTTGCTTGCGCTCTCCTGGACCGCCACCAACCAGACACCACCACCAAACCCCTTCCCGCTTGGCACGCTGTCACGCTGACTCCGCCTCCGGGGATCTCGCGGTTTGGCCGTTGGCCCGTTACCGTTGCTGTCTCCAGCCCCCGTGTAACCCGGTCGATCCTCTGCCTTACGAAAATACGTGATCAACCGAGGAAGAACCCGGGTCCCGCAGAAGGCTTCCAGGAGTTGAGGCATTACTAAACA